TACATGATTAAAATAATTTATTACTCTTTTTGATTTTAGGATATTGATTTGACTTTAACCTCTTGAGTGAATATATGGTTATGAAAATATGAACTTACTTTTCATATTAACAATCAGCATCTTAGAAACTTAAACATCTTTAATTAGTGTTAAGTGCTTGATAAAGAATTAATAATATTTAAAGGTATTAAATTCAATTTTCGTAACCTTACTAAGACAAATCTTTCCTTAAACTTCATTTTTTAAATTTATAAAGTATAAATTTCCATATATAATTACCTATCTATTGCATTTTGAATTAATAAACATGTTTATTTATATTAATATCTTCAAATAATTTTAAGTTCCATTATACATGTTATTCAGATAAATTTCATTTTTTATTTTTAAAGTTTGGAATCTTTTTGATTTAAGTTTCTTTATTTATATATTAATAAAATCCATTTTTTTTCGTATGCATTTTCTTTTATTTTTAGTTGAATTTTTAACTTTTTTTAGAAAGCGATCAACAAAATACCTAAAAGAAGTTTAATTTTCAAAATTTTATTGGAATTAACTCTTTTATGAATTTCTGAATATTTAAAACTGAATTAGACTTACAATAGCTTTAAATAAAATTAGATCTAATATATTTTTTGAATTTTTTCATCATTTATAAATAATTTCTCTTATTTTAATCAGTGTTTAATTATAAGTTTATTTAATTTTCTGATATATCTTTATATTGTATTTCTTATTGATTTCTAATTTATTGTTTATATAAATAAATTTGATGAAAATTCAGAGTCCTCTTTATTCAAACAATAACTTTTTTTCTATTAAATAAATTCTTAAAATATTTCAGAAAGTCAATTTATTTAAATTTTTAATTTTTTGGAAATAGTGTAAAAAAGAAAATGCAAATAATACAAATAATACTATTGTTTATATTATAATATATTTAATTTAATTTAATTAAAGCCCTTTATAACATATATTGTATGGCTTTTGTATATTAATTTAAATTAGTATTATCATTAGAGATAATTTAAGTTAGTTTTAGTAATGATAACATATCTAAATAACCGGGTTATATCTGAAAACATGTAACACTAACAAAAAGTGAAAATTAAAGTGGAAATTTTATTAATTTAGAACATAATATATAAATATATATTAATGTTCAAAGTATCCAAAGAAAATTTACAAGAGATACTAAGGTCTGGATTAATTTAGAATGATTAAACTAACATGGATCAATTCAAATCAACTAAGTAATTTGAAGTGTCTCTAAAATCTAACATAACTTAAGGATTAGGAGATAATGATATAATCTACAGATAATAAGTATTTGGAGTCAATGAGAAGGAGAATATAAATTCTATAGGTTTCATGAATGCATTATGGATAACAATAATTGTAAGTGATCAATTTAATAAAGAAACCTTACTCTATATTTTTNTACATGATTAAAATAATTTATTACTCTTTTTGATTTTAGGATATTGATTTGACTTTAACCTCTTGAGTGAATATATGGTTATGAAAATATGAACTTACTTTTCATATTAACAATCAGCATCTTAGAAACTTAAACATCTTTAATTAGTGTTAAGTGCTTGATAAAGAATTAATAATATTTAAAGGTATTAAATTCAATTTTCGTAACCTTACTAAGACAAATCTTTCCTTAAACTTCATTTTTTAAATTTATAAAGTATAAATTTCCATATATAATTACCTATCTATTGCATTTTGAATTAATAAACATGTTTATTTATATTAATATCTTCAAATAATTTTAAGTTCCATTATACATGTTATTCAGATAAATTTCATTTTTTATTTTTAAAGTTTGGAATCTTTTTGATTTAAGTTTCTTTATTTATATATTAATAAAATCCATTTTTTTTCGTATGCATTTTCTTTTATTTTTAGTTGAATTTTTAACTTTTTTTAGAAAGCGATCAACAAAATACCTAAAAGAAGTTTAATTTTCAAAATTTTATTGGAATTAACTCTTTTATGAATTTCTGAATATTTAAAACTGAATTAGACTTACAATAGCTTTAAATAAAATTAGATCTAATATATTTTTTGAATTTTTTCATCATTTATAAATAATTTCTCTTATTTTAATCAGTGTTTAATTATAAGTTTATTTAATTTTCTGATATATCTTTATATTGTATTTCTTATTGATTTCTAATTTATTGTTTATATAAATAAATTTGATGAAAATTCAGAGTCCTCTTTATTCAAACAATAACTTTTTTTCTATTAAATAAATTCTTAAAATATTTCAGAAAGTCAATTTATTTAAATTTTTAATTTTTTGGAAATAGTGTAAAAAAGAAAATGCAAATAATACAAATAATACTATTGTTTATATTATAATATATTTAATTTAATTTAATTAAAGCCCTTTATAACATATATTGTATGGCTTTTGTATATTAATTTAAATTAGTATTATCATTAGAGATAATTTAAGTTAGTTTTAGTAATGATAACATATCTAAATAACCGGGTTATATCTGAAAACATGTAACACTAACAAAAAGTGAAAATTAAAGTGGAAATTTTATTAATTTAGAACATAATATATAAATATATATTAATGTTCAAAGTATCCAAAGAAAATTTACAAGAGATACTAAGGTCTGGATTAATTTAGAATGATTAAACTAACATGGATCAATTCAAATCAACTAAGTAATTTGAAGTGTCTCTAAAATCTAACATAACTTAAGGATTAGGAGATAATGATATAATCTACAGATAATAAGTATTTGGAGTCAATGAGAAGGAGAATATAAATTCTATAGGTTTCATGAATGCATTATGGATAACAATAATTGTAAGTGATCAATTTAATAAAGAAACCTTACTCTATATTTTTTTTATCTTTGTCATTAATCGCATTTATTCTAAAATATAAATCAACATAAGGAGTATACACAAATGAATGGATCGAAAGTATAATTATCTTAGGATTAATTATTATGAACCTTATAATATCTGCAGTTCATGTATAGTTTGTTTTTAATTAACCAAGTTAAAAATTGCTGATAACAATCTAAAAAAATAATTATTATTGGATTAATAATCTAAAACTGTAGTTGTATTGAGAAATGGATAAGAATAGACTAAGATTGCAAGAGATCTAGTGGTTGGAGATATTGTAATATTGTAAGAGGATGATAAAGTTTATGTTGATGGATTAATTGTTGAATAATCAAATTTTTTAATTGATGTATTAATGTTTTATAATATTTTATTTAGGAAAGCTTTTTAACAGGGGAACAAGATTTCGTTCCCAAAATTACAATAGAAGAAGCAACCTAAAAGAAAGAATAGATTTTACCAAGGAGACACTTGATATTTGCAGAAAGTAAAGTAGCATAAGGAAAAGCTAAAATAATGGTTTTGGCAGTTGGTAGAGAATTGTAGGCTAGTAAAATATCAGTTTGTGTATAATAATAAGAGGTGATAAAAACACATATTTAATTAAGAATAGAAAATATTTCATCTAAAATGGAAACGATAGGATTTGTAGGAGCTATAATAGTTATTTTTATGTTGTTAGGTAGATACATGAGTCAATATTATAATTCGGATTTTAATGGATATAGCACGTTTTCTAACATACTAAATTTAACCATAGTTTTAATATCCGGAAATTCATCAAAGGCTTTGATAACTCATTTTTAAATGTAATTAGCTTAAACTGTAAAGTTAATGTTAAGTTCATAAAATTTGGTTAGAAAGCTTTAGACATTAGAAAACCTACCTTTTATGAACTAAGTATAATTTTTATAATAATAAAGATAATTGTTGATAAAACAGGAACTTTAACTGAAAATAGAATGGGAGTGGATAGTTTTCTAAATGATACAAATATTGGGTTAGATTAATCTAAATTTAATCATTTTCCATAAGAATTTTAATAAGCTTTTATTGATTGTTGTTTTATAAATAATTCATATAATCCAGAAACATGTTAAGGAACTTAAATAGAATAAGCGTTATATTAATTGTCAAAAGAGTTAGGGATTAAATTAGAAGAGAGAAAAAATTAAGTGACTCATTAGATACCTTTTACTAGTTCTAGAAAGAGATTAGTAAGAATATTGATATTTATAATTAGACAACAATTATTTCAAATAATAGAGTTGTTGTAAGGGGAGCAGGTGAAATGATTTTTTAATGGGCAAATAAATTTTATAGTTTGGAAAATGGAATAATAGCGATTGATGATTTTTTAAAGGATAATTTAGAATAGAATTTATTTTAATTAAGTTAAGATGGAAGAACTATAGCAATAGCATATAGTGATGTAGATTTAAAGAATGAAAATGTTGAAGAATAGATAAAGAAAAATGATTTTAAATATGATAGATAAAATTTAACACTATTAGGTTTTTTACTAATTTCTGATTAATTGAGAAAAGAAACGAAAAGGGTTGTTGAAGAATTAAAATAAGCAGGAATTAAAGTAGTTATGGTAACAGGAGATAATTAGACAACTGCCAAGAGTGTTGCAATAAAAGCTGGTATTATGTCTTTGGACTCAATAATTACAGAAGGAGTTGAATTTTCAGAAAGAATAAAAAATAAAACAGAGAAATTTTAAAAAGATTTAGAAGATATTTATGTTATAAGTAGAGCAAGACCAGAGGATAAATACAATCTAGTGAAAGAGTTATAAGAATTAGGACATGTAGTAGGAGTATGTGGTGATGGTACAAATGATGGTATATATTAATTTGATTTAATTAATTAGCTCCTGCTATAGCTAAAGCTGATATAGGATATAGTTTAGGAATCTCAGGAACAGAAATAGCTAGAGAAAGTTCAGGAATTATATTACTGGATGATTGTCTACATTCCATTTATGTGGGACTCATTTTAGCTAGAAATCTATTAGATTCTATTAAAAGATTAGCTCAATATTAAATTACTTCACATTTTTCATTAATTATCATTTTAATTGGCTCATCTGCTATTGGAGATGCTGTTATATCTCCACTTCAATTTATTTGGATCAATCTAATTACTGATATATTTGCTACGTTTGCTTTATCTTATTGTAGACCCAGTTCAAATTTATATTATTAAAAGCCTCCTAATAAAGATGCATTCCTATTAGATATTATTGTTTATATTCATATAACTATAATGTCTCTCTATATAATAGGTGTATGTATCTTATTTATAAATTAAGTAATTTATTGTTCTATATATATAGTCTATAATGGTATTCAATATTTTTGTAATGACAACTTTATTTAATTTGATTAATTCTCGTATGGTTTATTTAGAATTCAATATTTTTAATGGATTCTTTTAATCTTGGATGATTTATACTTCAATATTAGTAATTGGATTACTTCAATATGTTATTGTAGAATATGGAGGGACTATGATGTCAACATTTGATGGTTTGACTCTTAAACAATGGTAATTTGGAATTTAATATATAAAAGGCTTATTTGTATTTGTATTGGAATTGGCAGTATAATTTGGAGAACAATAGCAATACTGATTATTAGACCAATCCTTGTAAATAATCAGTTATATTTATTAGAAGAATGATAAAGCAAAATTAAAACTGAATTGAAATAATTATTACACCTTGTACAAACCATCATTTAATCATCATAAATTACTTGTAGTAACTAACTTAGCTGTCCTGTATTCTATTCATTTTCGTTACTCATTTTTTAATTTACATTTTTTAAATTAAAAGTTTAATATTCTATTCTTCATAATATTTTACTTTTCTATAAATTTTGAAATTATTTACTAATTACTAAAGGGACTAGATAAATTCATAATTTAATGTATTTTCTATAATACTATCCTCATCTGATATAATCTCTTTTACTATATCTAATTCGATTATTATTATTTTTATTATTATTAAAATAAAATATGAAATTAGTCAGGTTTCTAATGAAACTCAAGAATGAGTAAGTTATTGTTGAATTAAAAAATGGGACTGTTGTTTTAGGAACAATAACTGGAGTAGATGTTAGAATGAATACACATTTAAGCAAAGTGAAATTAACATTGAAAGGAAAAAATCCTGTTGGTTTAGATTAATTGACAATTAGAGGTTTGCTGACTATCATTACATAGGAAATAATATTAGATACTTCCATTTGTCTGAGAATTTATAAATTGACAATTTATTAGTAGATGAATCCATTTCAAAATCAAAGAAGGTAAAGGCAGGAATGGAGAAAAACGATCCAAATTTTAAAAGAAAAAAGAAGAATAAAGTCACTCGTTTACCAAGAAGATGATTTACCATTCCCAATATTAATTTATCACATATAAAAACTTCTATTTTCTTCATTAAATTTATATTATTTTATTTGAATTCTCTTGTAAGAATAATTATATATATATTATGAATTGTAACATAAATAAATTAAACTCTTAATATCATTTAAATGCCTAATTAATCAAAAGGATTTTGAATAATATAATTAAAAATGGCAGAATAAAAAAAGCGATTGAATTCTTCTATGACGTATGAAGAATATGTGAGTATTTTTGAAAAAGAACCAAAGAAGCCTACATTAAAGCCTAAATTAAATCCAGATCTTATAATGGATGATCTAGATCTCCTGAGTGATGCTCCAACTACTGATAATCTTGAGACATTATTTTTAGAAACCAAGGATAACTCTGAATAAATTTAGGTTCTTACCTATAAATAATCCTAAAAAAGAGAAAGAACTTATAGTGAGAACATTTCTTACACATTCCTTAGTTTTATATAGAAAAAAATTGAAAGAAAGTAGTCAGATTGATATATACTAATTATTATTAATTTAATCACTTCGTATATAGCTTATTTTCCCTAAGACGATCTTCAAATTATCTCATTCTTTATTCAAGTTGTTCTTTGTTCTTTTATAAATCTGTTAATCTTAATTTTATTGTAGAAAGATTCGTCTTCTCATTATTATTGCTAGTCTTCTCTCTGATGGAACTTTAAGGTCTTTCATTCAAAACTTCCTTTTTCTTTTGCTTTTCAAAAGACTAGTACTTTCCCTCCTTATCATGATCAGTTTTACAGAATTTATTTTTCTACAGACTATCTTCATATTAATTTTCTTTTATCAAAGATTTTACAGGACTCTTCACTTACTAATGATTCGAATAATTTTGTAACTATGAATAAGAAGCATGATGATTAGTAAAATTTGGTTACTAATATGGTAAAGAAATTTATTTTTTTAAAACTTTGATATCATCTTCATCATTATTTTCATCATCTTGTACATGACATTATAGTATCTCGGAATCTGAATCCCTATTTTCATGATCTTCTTATAAACGATGTAACTCTATAGTTCTTATATTTTAATATCTATTATTACAATTTTGATATTTCTTTATCTTTATTTTATAATTAGATTTCCATATCTTTCTATTTTTATTGCATCTATTGTAATTTTGTTTAATAATCTATTTTCATCTATTAAATCAGTCTATCTTTTTCTTCTAATTATTTTTCTAATTACTAAATTCTTAAATTCTAGGAATTATCTTGCTTTTCAATATAATTGCTTCTGCTTCTTTCCTCATGCTTTCCCCTTATAGTTGTTGTTGAACTACAAACACTTTCTACAAAACTAGACGATCCTTTCTATTCTATACATATCAAATGGCTATTTCCAGCAGAAAAATGTATTAATTATTTACAGGATAATTAATCAATTGATTTTAATTGAATAACTCTCTTCTATTCTGGATCAAATTACCATTAATATGCTTTATCTCCTATGCACATTCCGACCAATTCTCCCATACAAAAATCTTTTATATTCTATAATTATTCATCTAATTCAAAAAAAATTAGTTCATTTGTAGAAGTCAAACCTATTGGAGTGCTTTTACCATCAATCTTAATAAATTTTTCTACTTTTAAATAGAATAATATACATTTGTAGTTCAATTATTATAAATTTCCAAAACCTTATCCACAAATTTAGACTATTCCATCTTGAGTTAAGAACAATGAAAACAAATTCCCAGCACAAATTTATTATATTGGAGGCAATTTTATTTTAGTAGGTTCAACAACATTTTTTAATCTTGACATTCCCAATTAACAACTATCATTTAATCCAAACCCAAAGCATTCTTAGGAATCTTAAAAAAATTAATAACTCAAAATACCATTCAATACTAATGTATGCTTATTACCACATGATACTTGAATGCAATTTGTAAGAGTACTAATTTTATTTAAATTTCCATTCTGTTTAACTCCTAATTGACTAGCAGAATTGTCTCCCCAAGTGAATAGAGATCCATCAGATGTAATACATGCAGTGTGTGTGTAACCACAAGAGATTTGTATAACACTCTTTTAATATAAGAGATTATACTTGCTTAATTATTCAATTTTTTTAGGAGCATTTAAGGATTGTTTAGTTAAATGCCCTAATTTATTATGCTCATTGCAACCCATAGTATACACATGCCCATTTTAAGTGAGTAAAGCAGTATGATCTTTTCCACAAGAAACTTAAATAAAACCAATTTTGTAATGGCAAATTTTAGGGATATGATAATATTAGGAGGATCCTCGATTTTTCCCTAATCCCAATTATCCTTCATTGTCAGCTAGAAAGTTTATTGAGGATAGTACCTCCCCAAACATAAACTATTGATTCAGAGATCATATGAGAATTTCAAATTTAACGATATATTAATTATATTGATGTTGCAAGTAGTACTTTCAGATGAATAAAACTTATCAATATCTTAGGATTTATCTCATTTAGGTAGCAATTTCAGGATTTCGAAATAAACGTTAGTGAAAATAGTTAGTGCGGCTCAAGAACGATTGTTTGCAGAAGAAATAGATGAATTAGAGAATATAGATGGTTTATAAAATTTGGAAATGAGTTTATGCACCAATTTTACAAAAGGTTTAAAAGGTGATGATTTTAAGGAGAGAGAGATTCTTTTTGGAAATAATAAAAAACCTGTAATTCCACCAAAAACCTATATAAAATTGTTATTATAAGCTTTGGAGGTTGATATATTAGTATTGAATGTTATTAGGATTTCATAATGAGAGTATTATTAGTGGCCTCAATTGTCTCAATAATAATTGGGGTAGCAACGGCAGATGATGATCATCGTTCTTTAGCTTGGATAGAGGGATTTGCAATATTTATAGCTGTATTTGTATGTTGCAATGTGACTGCAGTGAATGTATATAATTATAATTTATGATGAGGATTATCAAAAAGAGAGACAATTTCAAAGTTTAAATTAGATGGCAGATAGTAGAAAAACAGTAACAGTTTGGAGAGATGGGTGTAAGATAGATTTGCATCAAAGTTTAGTGATGGTAGGAGATATAATATAAATTTTTGAAGGTATGGAGATACCAGCAGATTGTTTAGTTGTTGAGGCAGCTGAATTAACAAGTGACGTAATCAAATTTAAAAATTATAAAAGGAAAGTGCTATGACAGGTGAGACAGACCCAATAAAAAAAGATACTTATGTAAATTGCAAAAAGTAAAGAGATAAATTAAAAGACTAATAAAATTCATGTGGTAGACATGATGTTTCATCTCCTGTTATGCTCAGTGGTACTAAAGTATTATCAGGAGAGGGTAAAATGATTGTGGTTGTGGTAGGAGACTCAAGTTGTGTAGGCAAGATTTCATCTTTATTAGCAACTGAGGATGTATAAACTACACCATTATAAGAAAAATTAGAAGCAATTGCTTAAGATGTTGGTAAATTTGGACTCGTAAGTTCTGCTTTAATCTTGTTTATTTTATTATTAAGATTTGCAATTGAAAGAATTAAAGATAATTCATTTGAAAAAGATCACATTAAAGAAATGCTTAATTTTATTATTATCTCTATTACTGTTATTGTTGTTGCCATTCCTGAGGGTTTACCTCTTGCTGTTACACTCTCTTTGGCTTATTCAACTAAGAGAATGCTTAAAGATAATAATTTAGTTAGAAAAATGGCAGCATGTGAAACTATGGGTGGAGCTGATATGGTATGTTCAGATAAAACAGGAACATTAACATAAAATAAAATGTTTATGGTATCTATTTGGAATGATACATTAATGGATATTGATGTTTACAATGAATAATTAAATTTGAGTACATACTTTCCTTCTTAAATGCATGATTTATATGTATAAGCATCTATAGTTAATGGAACAGCAATGATTAGACCAGAAGAAAAAGGTAGTAAGACAGAAATAGCAATGATTTTATTTGCGGAGAAATGTGGAATAATTTATGAAAAAGAAAGAGAACTCCATGTTGCAAGTATGAAAATACCTTTTTCAAGCAAAAGAAAAAGAATGGCTATGATTATAGGAAAAAGATTAGTTATAAAAGGTGCAAGTGAAATCATTTTAGAAGGTTGTAATAAATTACATTCTAAAAGTCAAGGGATAATTTCTATTGATTCTATGGTAAGGTAGAACATAGAAAAAGCAATAGAAAATATGGCATCGAAATCTCTGAGGACTATAGGTTTAGCCTATAGAGAGTTGGATGGAACTGAGGATCTTACAAATAAAAATGATAAGGGTGTATATAATGTTGAAACTGAAAATTTAATTTTAATTGCAATAGTTGGAATAAAAGATATATTAAGACCAGAAGTACCAGGAGCAGTTGCCAGTTGTAAAACTGCAGGGATTAAAGTAAGAATGGTAACAGGTGATAATAAAATAACTGCAAAAGCAATAGCAAAGGAATGTGGAATTTTAATTGATGAAAATTAATCATTAGTTTTAGAAGGTCCTGATTTTGTTAATAGAATAGGAGGTGTAATATGTAAATGGTGTAAAACTGCTATTTGTGATTGTCCTAGAGATTAAACAACTGCAAAATAAATAGGCAAATAAGTAAGAGTAGATACTATTAAAAATGGGGAAGAATTTGACAAATTATATCCTTTTTTAGATGTATTAGCTAGAAGTAGACCAGAAGATAAGTATGCTTTAGTTACAGGACTTTTAGAAAGAGGACATGTGGTAGCAGTAACTGGAGATGGTACTAATGATGGTAATAAAATTAATTTAAATTTTAAATAGCTCCTGCTTTAAAGAAAGCTGATGTAGGTTTTGCTATGGGTATAGCAGGCACGGAGGTTGCAAGAGAGAGTGCATCTATAATTCTATTAGATGATAATTTTAGTTCAATTGTAAAAGCAGTAATGTGGGGAAGGAATATTTATGATTCAATTAAGAAATTCTTACAATTCTAATTAACTGTAAATGTAGTAGCAGTTACAATGACTTTGATATCTTCTGTCTTACTTAAATAAGAAGTGTTAGAACCTATATAAATGTTGTGGGTCAATTTAATTATGGATACATTTGCTTCTTTGGCTTTAGCTACAGAAACTCCAACAGAAGAATTATTATAAAGAAAACCTCATAACAGAAATGAATATATGATTTCATAGAAAATGTTTAAACATATTATTGGATAAGCTATATTTTAGATGATTGTAATGTTGGTGTTATTATTTTCTGCATAAGATTTTATACCTGAATTCAAGGGATAAGAAGATGACAGTAAAGATTTTTAAGGTAAATTGTAATACAAATATTCTAATACATAATATGATGATAAACTTAAAATTCATAGTTGCCCTAATTATTAAGATTACTGCAATTTAGTTTCCTTTAGCACTGACTTTTATGTGGATGGTTCTGAAAATTATGAAGCTTTTTACAAAGAAACATATATACCATCAAGATAATTCACAGTAATATTCAATACATTTGTAATGATGCAACTATTTAACTTTATGAATGCAAGGAGGATTAAAGATGAACTAAATATATTTTCAGGCATTTTTACAAATATATTATTTCCAATTATAGTTATAGGAATTCTGACACTTCAAATTATTTTAGTTACATTTGGAGGAATAGTATTTCATTGTTATACATATTTTGGATTAAGAATAGAATAATGGTAAATATAATATATAAATATATATAGGCTTATATGTGTTGCATTAGGATCTGGAGGATTGTTCGTAAGAATGATTCTTAGACTTATTCCAGACCCTAAGTTAGCCTTTCTCAATAAATTAGGCCAGGAAGAAAAGGAAGCTCATAAACTAGTATCACCAACAGCATAGAACAACATAAGTTATTAAATTTAAGTTATTCGTTAAGAATCAGAATTGGCAAATTTGAATGATCAAGGGTTAGATTCTAGAATGATGTGATTATTAATAAATTTATGAATAAATAATATCTTACATTAAGTATTGAAGGTAGTTCAAATATAATTTGGATTGGAGTAGTTATAAAAGATGGTAATATTCTATCAAATACTATGAAAAAATAATAAGGGACAGGATTTGTACCAAAAGAACAGCATAATATCACAAATAAAATATTCGAAGTTTTGGATGAGGCATAAAAAAATAACTAAGATTACCTTAGATGAAATTGATCTTATCTTTTATCCAAAAGGCCATGAAATTGTTGGACAACTTGTTATTGGTGTTACTGTTGCAAGAACTTTATCAACACCTTCTTAATTACCTATTGTAAGAGTCAATAATTATGTTGCTCATATAGAAATTGGTAGATTAGCAATTGGAGGCTATACCCAAGTTATTGCTTATTCAAAAAATAAATATAGATATAGAGTATTTGGAGAATTTAATTGATTTTGCAGTTAGTAATCAGTTAGATCGTTTTGTTAGACTAGTTAATATTATTAGTGATCCTGCTAGGATGTAATAGAAAAATTAGCAAAGAAAGGTTAAAATTATAATTTTGATACTCCTTATGTTTTAAAAGGAATGGATATGAGTTTTAATGGTTTATTAAGATTTATTGAAGATGTTTTCCTTAAATTTTTATAATTTAAATTACCTGAAGTAGAAGTCATTAATAAAGCTAAAACAATCAAATATTGTTAGAAATTTTAATAATTCTATTTCTTAAGATTTACTCTATTGAAAATTTATCCTTTACTTTTCAAATGATAATATTAGATAATTAAATATTTTATAAAATATTTAATAAACAAATCATTTGCAAACTCTTTTTTTTATTAAATCACCCAATTCAAATTTGAATATTTTGGACATTATTTGACTTTTCTGTTACTAATCTGGCTTCTTCTTAAGAAGTTGGCTTATATCTTATTAAACTCTGATATTCAATTCATTTTGATCTAAAATTGTGTTGTGGTTTCCCTTCAATACAAAATATATATCAGAATTCTCAAGATATTAAACCAACTACTCAATTATAAACTCAAATAGTAACTTCCAGTCTCCTGTAAAGTTCCTTCCAAATTTGAAATTTTGGGTTAATAATTTTAATAATTCCATCTCATCTAAGTAATCTTCTAAATAATCCTTTATCTCATTTATTAATATTCTTTCACTTATCATATCTTTTTTTTGTAATTGATTGCAGAGAGGTATCATTAATCTATTTGCTGGATTGAACTAAAATTATGACAACCAAGTAGTACTTTAACAACATATTTTAAAATGAGTTCCTAATTTATATAACGATCAAAAAGTAATTCTTAAGGTAATTCATCTGAACATATATTATTTTTTAATGCATCTTGTAAGTATAACTCTGCTTAGACACATCTAGTAATAAAATATTCAATTTGATCGTTCTAATAATTCTGGCATTCTGCCCTTTAAATTTCTTTGAAATAATCACTCAAAGATATTAGCTATATATCTTCTATTGCTTATTTATTTTCTAAACTACGATCTACTATTTCAATTAATTTATTATTGAATTCCTAGCTATCTTAAAGCTTATCAAATAATTCAATATAATCATATTCTACATGCAATGTTCCCTTATCCTCCATTTTATTTTTCTAATCAAAAATTATTTACAAACAAGGTTTCCCAATATTTATATCCAAAATATCTCCAATTACTATATACATGTCTGCTCCACAAATTCTTTCTTTCTATAAATTTTCTAATATTTAAATGCTCATATATAATTTATATTCTTTCTTTTTGTAAGAAACATTCGATTCTATTATTATAGAATCATCTTATGCTTTAAATTATTTATCACATAATGAAAAGATTAATTTTTCCACTAATTCATTATGACTTTCGTTATTATTTAAAATAACAACCTTATAATATAGATCTTTTTATAAAGCATTTTTATTGATTAACTTTCGAGTTAAATCAATTCTAAAATTTTATTGTTCTACTATTTTTATTTATTTTTGTTATTTATAATTCTTCTTTTATTTAGTTAACTACAAAAATTTTTAATATCTTTTCTCAGTTAAAGTGCTTAATCTCCAGTGTTTTAAGATTCTTTACATTTTGTAAAAATTTCCTAGCTCTTAATCAATATTATCTAAATGAGGTGCTAAAAATTTTGTAAATTTGTTTAAGATTTTTTTTAAAGATAATTATAAAAGCATCTCTTATATTGTTGATTTCATCTTTAATGTTTTTAAATCTGTTTAGTTTGATTTTTAATTAATAACCTATTAATTCAAATTTTAATTTTCTATACAATTAACTTTTTCAATTTGAACCTTTCCAAGAATAATTTTAGAAAAGTTTCCTCTTAAATTTAAAAAGGTTATTTTATCATCTATTGAAATCCATTATTAATAAATAGAATTAATATCAATAAATTTAAGTTTTAACTTATCTTTTTCATATAACTTCATTTTTTCCATATCTTCTATATATAACTTAATTTGATTTTAAAAAAGATAGATGAAAAATTTTTAAAATAAAGTAATTTTACAGTTATTTCCAAGATCAAGTAAAGCACTATAATTTTTGACAATGATATACTCTTTTACCAATTTACAGAATTAAAATTCAGAAGTTTCTATAAGGGTATCAAAATATTAGAATTCAGAAAAGATAATATCCAAATTGGCTAATTTTTAAATAGAGTTAGAGTTTTTAGAGAGAATAGTTTAAGAAAGCATAAGATGATAATATGAGATAAATTCAGGAACGTTATCCACCAAAATAAATCTTTTTTCATTTCTAAAATAAATAAACTGATTACATACATTTCATGAAATAATATTTAATAATTGATTGCTAAATCATCAAGTGCTTTTCGTAGATAAATTTCACAATTATTTATATTCTATCTTATTTATTGGGAACTTTAATCTGCGTTCATCATTTCTATATATGACAGCAGATATATTCGGACTATTTAACAACTTAATTATTTTACTTAGTTATTCGAGATATTGAATCCTAAATATATAATTATTACTATTTTTTGGTTCTATTTAGGTCAATTCTGTGCTTAAAGCTCTAAATCTATCAGATATATATTAAAATATTTCCACAATATTTACAAGGGAACCATCTTATTTTCTTTTCTATCTGTCACAAAATATTGTTTGTAATCTTTTTATTGACTTAATCATTCCTCTCTGAGATCTAAAGATTGTTTCTTATTTTCCCTAATTTGGTCTAGTGTACTATTTAACAACCAACGAAGTATTTAATTTAAAATTCTAATCAACTTCAAATATCCTATTAAAAAGATCAAGATTTATAGCATCTTATTTATTTTTTTCTGTGCACATTTCATCTATAAATTAAAAGCCAACCCATTCTCCTTCTAAATAATATTGTATAGTTTTATCTTCTGAATTAGATGACAAAAACTTTAAATTATTAGGGATAGAAGGTATTTTCCAACTATTAGCATCATATTATGATTCAAAATTTTAATAACTTTATTATTATTATGCTTATTATTATTATTATTATTATTATTACTATTACTATACTTATTATTATTATTACTATTACTATACTTATTATTATTATTATTACTATTATTATTATTATTATTATTAGTATTGTTGCTATTATTATACTTCTTCTTTTTATTATTTTGCTTTTATTTATTCTATTTTTTGAATAAATCTTAATTCATTTGTTTGATTTATTTATTAATTATTATTATTATTATTTTAATTTGTTATTCTTTTGCCACTTTCATCTCTTTAAGTTTTTTTTGCAAATCCTTTAGGTAAAGAGGGATTAATTTTTCTACATTCAAAACCCAACATTCTAAATGAACTTTCGGATAATCTTGGCTATTATTCTCTTGATTTGACTCTATTTTCTATTTCATCATCTGAATCATATGGATTTAAATCTTCTTCATTATCATCTTAATTATTCTCATCAAAATTTTATGAATCATTATCTGATTTGTAATCATCTTAAAATTCACCTTCTTCTTCTTAATCTTCTTGATCTTCTTCATAATTATCATAATCATCATAATCATCATAATCATCTAAATAATCTTCCTGAGAATTCTATTCTTCTTTTTCATCAATATCGTTGTCTAATTAACTACTCTCTTCCTAATCATCTTTTACATCCTCATTTGAATTTTATTCATCTTCTTCACTCTTTTCATCTTTTTTAAAAACCCCTTATTTTATAAGTTCTTATTGTTTGTTTGTTTCTTTTATTTAGTCATTATCATTATTTGATTTTTAATCTTCTATCTATGATTCATAATAAGGTTATTTTTTATCAAGGATACGAATTATTTATTTTTTAGGTTGATCCTCATATAATATTGGGTCTTTTAATATTGATTTATCGTTTTAATACGTTTAATTAAAGTTTCGATTGTTCCAATATCCATAATTACTATTTTTTCTTTGATTCATCAAAATTAATATTTAATATAATATACATTAATATTTATCCAATAATCCTTATCAATAATTTTTTCATTAATTAACTCTATTATATTAGTAAGAATTAAATAAATAATAACAAAAATTATTCATTCGTATTTTGACACTGCAAGTTCTTCTTAACTATCTTCCTATCTAATTTATATACCATTTATAGAATTAAAGCTTTCCTCAGTCATTTTACTTTTTAGTTCTGGAGCTTCTATCTATTCTTCAATTTCATTTGCTGTTTAATTAGCACTTTAATTTTATTCAATTTATTAACTACTCAAATAAAAATACTCATTTGTACTACCTTAATTCTAATGAGTGGACTATTAAGAAATTAACTTATGATTATAAGATGATAATCCCAAAGGACGAGTAAAAGTATTAGAAAATTTTCCATATTTTGTTTAATATTCAGAATTATCGCATTCATAATACACATCTTTAACTCCAGAACTAACTTACGATGATTTATGTTTTTAATCGTTTTCTATTTTTATTTCATCAAAAGGTTCATTAATAGAATTATTTCCATTTTTTAAATCTTGATTCTATCTCAGACAACTTTTTACAGCTTTCTTCTATAACTATACTTATGTATTTTGTTTTGAAGAATTGTTTTTTGAATGTATAGGAGGTTTTGTTGAATTAACTTCTTCAATTACTTGCAATCCTGTTGCTAACTAGATTGTCTTTTCTAATAAGCATTCTTAAGATAATTATTTAATAAGAACTACACCTGTTTGAGGTAGCTTTTTCTATCTGTTAGAATTAGATTACATAAGTTGTTATTACTATTTAACTATTTATTATTATTCTTGATATTAATTTGCGTATGTTGAGATTGAATCAAATACTAGTGGCTTCGCTTATAATTATAATTTATTTATTTAAGAACTTTTACGATATTATTTTTAAATGGAATTTCTTTAATTTTACATATTTTAAGTTTGTTTTACTTTTAATCCATTTTAGTTGCTGAGTTTCGTCTATTCTTAAAACATCTAATTTATTTATTTAGTTTAAAATTATTTCTTGGCTGATTGACTCTAAATATTTCTCTCTTAAGAATTAGAGATAGTTGATTATCGTCTTAATTAATTAATTAACTAATTTTATCTAACCTCTAATTTTTCTGATTATGCTCTAATACTCAAAGGTAATAATTCCAATATTCTTTTTTCACAAATCTTTTAAATAATACATTAACCATCACTTTTTTATAAATTATTAATTACTTTAATTTACTCGTGATATTAGATTCATATATTTTTTTTAATCTACAAAGGGATTGGATACTTAACATTTTTAATTATATTTCTCCAACCTTAAAAAAACTATCTACATCAAATCCTAAACTGATCCATTTATTTGTTAATATAAATGCACTTGATATTTTCACTTCATTTTAATTTTTAGAGTATGATTATTGAAAATTTGGACCAACAATTATTTTGTAATACTTATTAATTATAACCATTTATACTTCATCTTTAAAAGTAAGTTCAATGATCAATTTTAACTTCTCAATCACATATATTTATAAATATAAGTTGGAACCCTTAATATTCTATTCTTAAGAATTATGATATGTGTATAAATTTGTAGGCCCAACTTTTAAGACGAAACCTCTATATTTATGTATTTTTATACTTTTCATGTTTTTATCAAAAATTATATTATCTTGTTGCTATTATTTTAATTCTTCATATTTGTTAATATGTTACCTCTACATTCAAATAATGTATTTTCTTAAATAAGTTTTGGTAACTATGTCATATATACAACTGAAATTATTATATTTAATTATTCATAAACTATATATAGAAAAGCATTCTATTGTTCTATTTTTAACTTAGATTTTATCATGTTTAAGATTATATCATATATATACTAAGTTTATAATTATATCTATTCAAGGATAAATAAATATTCAGATTTTTTTAAATATGTCTTTAAAAGAGTTTAAATTCTTAAAAATGACACACTCAAACTTTATTTCCTAACCAAGCTAATTAGTTTTAAATTCATTTATTAATTATCCAATTGGACCAATAATCTTTATTACTTTTTTTATCATTTAATTAAAGCAATCTATTTCAAATACTCTTTTTGGAGAACCTTAAAATTGTCCACATATTTAAATTATGATTTCATCTACATTTCCTACTTGATATTATTTTTATTCCTTAGACTATTTTATAAATAAATTAATTTATATTGGACATTTTTAAATTAGGAAACATAATAGACTTAGTATTAAATGTGTAATCAAATAAGCATCATTTGTAATTACTAAATTTTAATCCGTAGAATATTAAAATTTAATCTATTTATAATTTAAATAATCTCTAATAGGATTTTCTATTTATTCTAATAATTAATGTATTTTTATTTTTGAAATTTTCAATTTAGGTATATCATTTTTATTTAAACATATTGAAAAATACTCTGAAATGAATTGAACTAAACGAAATGATGTTTCAGAGAATAATGTAGCTTAAGAAAGATATCTTTTTTGATTTAAAAGTGAACTTAATTATTTTATCCGAATCTCAAATATGGATTGAAATTAAGAGATTATCTTCTTTAAACAATCTCTCTATTATTTTGCTTTAATTAATTGTCTTCTTACTTCATTTTATTAAAGTAATACAATAGCTTTTGTTTCTCCTTTTTCAATAATATATAAGATTTTTATTTTATAGTCACATTTTGTTGTAGTATCATAACCTTGTAAAAAACTAAAATTATCAGTTTATTGATTAGTAAATGATTTATGAAGCAATTACTCAAGAGTTTCTGAACTTTCTAAAGTTGGAAATGATAATCTACTTAATTTAGGTTAAGAGTTTAATTGTTAATAATCATTTCTTAATCTTGAAAATGAAATTTTGGATTAAATCAAATTATTCCTTTGATATTTTGGAATTTAGATTTATCTGATAAATTATCGAAACTTTTCTTAATTAGAAAAGTAAAATCCTGTTGAAGTTTGATTTTAGGATTCTAATTTAATGAAATTTGTTCTTTTATCATACTTAACCTTCATAAATTATATACTAAATTGTTCTATTAAACTACCAAATTACATATCATCTCTTTATTTTAACAAGAAAAACTCTCTTTTTTGATATTCATTTGAATAATACGACAGACAAGACAAAATAAGAGCTGAAATTATTTAAAATTTTATTACCTAATATAAACATAACTTAATTTCCGTTAAATGAGTTCTGAAGTATAGTTTAAACCAAGATTAAAGTAGAAAAGTTAAATATTATAATTGCCAGATTTAACAAAAAGTTTGAGCCCAAAAGTAAGCTAAATTGCACTAAAACAACTGTTTATGCAATCATAGAATTTACATCAGGTAAAAAATTAAATAAAAGGTTTATATTATAGAGTAACCCAACTAAAAGATTATTGAAGGGTAAAATGTAATTAAATAATTCTGGGTATTTTTTGATTAATCTAAAAGACATTAAAAATATTAAAGGTAAACATATTATTAGATATTTGCTATTGCCAAATCCAATTGGGTATATAAATTCTAATGAGAAAATAATTACTGCACTTATTGATCCAAATATACAAACTCTTTCATAAAAAAATGTTAGCATTGGAAGTTAATCAGTAAAAAATTGATTTTGCTTTAATGAACTTCTAAAAGAGAGCTTTAGATTATTCATTTTTTGTTTGTATAAGATATTGAATATTCTTAAATAAATTTATCGAAAAAATCATAATAAATAAATATTAGTCACTATCTAATTAAGTTTAATTATTTCTAGAAAAACAATAAAATAATTAACTATTCTTACTTGTGAATAAATAAACAATAGTGATTTTTTTAATTTAAGATATGATTATACAAGAATAGGTTTGTTTATTGAAATTAATAGTTTTGAATGTATTAATGTAGTAATAAATATGAATTGATAATTATTTAAATTGATTGAGAATAATATTTATATATAAAATGGATAATAATGAACATAAAGAAAATTAAGAGAAATAATATATATGCATAGATGCTAAATGTGATTAATAAAATAGATTATTTAAAGCTAAAAATGACAATCATCAACATAAATCTCATGATCATTAACTATATGCTGAATTCTAGAAAATGATTCGTGGTTAATTTCCCTAATAGGTGAGGGAATAAATAAATTAATAATTTAGTAAAGATGAATTGATAAAAGCAATATAAAGTAGATCAGTGTAAATGCATGAGTCAGTAAAAATATTTGAAGAAAATCTAATAAAGTAAGTGTAACTCTTAGAATGTTAATAGAACTATAGAAGCTTATGATATATTAGGAGCAGACAAAGCATCTATTAATTAAACTTTAAGTTAACTAAATGAAACTAATCCTCCTTAATAATTAAATGTTCAAGGTCTGTTACATGTATTAAAAATAAACAAGTTGGGGCCATAAAAAGTATTAGAAAAATGGAAAAGAGAAAATGAAATTATTTTGAAAGAGTTGAGTACTTAAGCAGAATCTGCCTTAAAGACTTTAAGTAATGTTACATTATAAAGTTATATGCATATATAACATTTATAAAGTCCTTTAATTTTATAAAAGTAAAAAGATATAAATAGAATATTGTAGAATGCATTATGTATGGAGTCCCAATTTAAAAGCTAGTTCTGTGACTTTAAGAGAAGAAGCTGCTTATGAAAAAGGAAATGCTATGGGATTAGTATGTATATAGTAACAACTTGAAAAAGATTAAATATAAAGTCTAACTATTGATGTGAAAGAACGAGGAGGAGTATTTTATAATGGAATAATAGAATTTATATATAGGCGTTATGGATATGAACGAAAGAAAATTAAAAGGAAGAAGAGCATTTAGTTTTCATGATTGGAATGAATCTAGTCATGGTCTTTATCTACTTTATCATGGAGGATGTAATTAATGTATATCTAATTTAGATGTATTTAGTTCAAATGATACAAAAATAAATACTAAAAAAGTTGGATTTAATTTTGATTAAAATGATAAATTAATTCTAACTTGGAATGGTCCTGAACATTCTTTAACTATCTTAAAAGTAGGAAGTAGTCATGTAAAATATTAAACATTATATTTTAGTAATATGCTTTCAAAGTTAATCCTGATGGCCAATATCATTTTACTGTTGGTTTATTTAAGTGCGAAGTTAGATTAATTGAATGATATATTAAATTAAATAATATCATTTATGAATCAAATAATATTTAATAATTCTGTTAAAAATTACTAAATCTTAATTTTAGTAAAGAATTATTTTTTATTTATATAAAATAAGCTTTTAAATATTTTATTAATTAAATGAAATAAAAGGGTAAATCGAATAAGTGCAAGAATATTTAATCAGATCATTAAACTAAAAAAGATGCTCTTTAAAGAATCAAGATAACAGAGGATGTTTATGAAATATTAGCTTATACAACAAATGAAGATAATGATATAAGATTAGCAGCTACTTCTTAACTATGTCCATGCAAAGTTTAAGAAGATGTACCGGAATTTTGGACTAGAATCTTTCAATTAGTAGATGATCCTGATTCTAGAATTAGAGCTAGAATTCTTCATATTATTTNTGGGGCCATAAAAAGTATTAGAAAAATGGAAAAGAGAAAATGAAATTATTTTGAAAGAGTTGAGTACTTAAGCAGAATCTGCCTTAAAGACTTTAAGTAATGTTACATTATAAAGTTATATGCATATATAACATTTATAAAGTCCTTTAATTTTATAAAAGTAAAAAGATATAAATAGAATATTGTAGAATGCATTATGTATGGAGTCCCAATTTAAAAGCTAGTTCTGTGACTTTAAGAGAAGAAGCTGCTTATGAAAAAGGAAATGCTATGGGATTAGTATGTATATAGTAACAACTTGAAAAAGATTAAATATAAAGTCTAACTATTGATGTGAAAGAACGAGGAGGAGTATTTTATAATGGAATAATAGAATTTATATATAGGCGTTATGGATATGAACGAAAGAAAATTAAAAGGAAGAAGAGCATTTAGTTTTCATGATTGGAATGAATCTAGTCATGGTCTTTATCTACTTTATCATGGAGGATGTAATTAATGTATATCTAATTTAGATGTATTTAGTTCAAATGATACAAAAATAAATACTAAAAAAGTTGGATTTAATTTTGATTAAAATGATAAATTAATTCTAACTTGGAATGGTCCTGAACATTCTTTAACTATCTTAAAAGTAGGAAGTAGTCATGTAAAATATTAAACATTATATTTTAGTAATATGCTTTCAAAGTTAATCCTGATGGCCAATATCATTTTACTGTTGGTTTATTTAAGTGCGAAGTTAGATTAATTGAATGATATATTAAATTAAATAATATCATTTATGAATCAAATAATATTTAATAATTCTGTTAAAAATTACTAAATCTTAATTTTAGTAAAGAATTATTTTTTATTTATATAAAATAAGCTTTTAAATATTTTATTAATTAAATGAAATAAAAGGGTAAATCGAATAAGTGCAAGAATATTTAATCAGATCATTAAACTAAAAAAGATGCTCTTTAAAGAATCAAGATAACAGAGGATGTTTATGAAATATTAGCTTATACAACAAATGAAGATAATGATATAAGATTAGCAGCTACTTCTTAACTATGTCCATGCAAAGTTTAAGAAGATGTACCGGAATTTTGGACTAGAATCTTTCAATTAGTAGATGATCCTGATTCTAGAATTAGAGCTAGAATTCTTCATATTATTTGCGATGGTTCTCCTAATAGATTGTAAATTGAAGTTATGGATGCACTAGAAAAATTCAATAGGGATTCAGATTCTGATATAAGAAGATAGGCTCATAAAGTATTAGCCAAAGCATAGAAAGGAACATGGAATGTTTTATGATTACTAAAATTATTTAAAATATTATCAAATCTAAATCCTTAACAACTTCCTTGTTGTATACTTTATACTTTTACAACCTTAGGTTTACTTCTTAAACAGTTTTTTCAAATTATAATATTTATTTAGATTATTAGTATCATTTGTTATATCCAACTTGACCTTATAATAATCCTTACTCAAGAATATAATATAAGTATTTTGAAATTATACTTTCATATACTTTCATTATTTTTCTAATACATTGAATATTTTAGATTATATTGTATATTTAAATACTTATATATAATACATAAATATTTATATATTTATGTATTTAAATAAAATCTCCTCCTTTATTAATATAATGACAATTATTATTATACTTTTTTTAGTTCTATAATAACAATTGTTTTTAGTACTAATATCATTTTTATTTTATAAAATTTGTTACATCTAAAGGTTCATATATTTTGGTATTGTAATTCAATCAAATTTTCATGTAATTATGTTAGAATATTATAACCTACCTCCATATTGTTAAAGCTTCAATTCATCTAGTATTTCTGAAACAAACGCTTTTTATTTAACTTTATCTCTTTCTTATTTTAATTAAGAATTCCTCTATCTATCTAATTCTTTGACTAAAGAAGATACTTATTTTACATAAAAGAGTAATTAAATATATTTAGAATGTTTTATTAGATAGATCTTATTTATAAATAGAGTTTTTTGATGAATATTATTAATATATAGTTTATTTATTTTATTAAAATTAATTTCAACAAATAATTTATGCATCATATTTTCATTAATTAACACTTTAATACATAATCTCTTTAATTATCTTCTGATAAATTTTAATTATTTCCATCATCTTTTTCAATGTATAATTTATAATCTGCTCTATATAAATAATTATCACAATCTTCAATCCATTTATAATGTATAATAGGAATGCTTTTTTCTTAAGCAATCATAATACTTCTAATTTTCCTTCTTCCAACAGTAATTACATAACTATTTTCCTGTCCAACAAAAAGATCTTCTTTAAATTCTCTATAAACTTTAGCACCTAAATATACAGCTTTATCTTTTGATTATTCTAATCCTCTTTTAATATTTTCTTCATGTGCTTCAGATATAGCAAAAAATAATGTCACTCCACTAAGAACTGATCTTCTAATTTCTGAATATAATGTTGGAGCACTTATTTTTCTATTTATGATTAAATCTAACAATGTTCTTTCTTCCATTTTACCATTTATTTCTTCAATAATTTCAGTTTTAATTTTTTTTGATTTACATACTTATTATTCAAATTCAACTACAAAATTAGGATCATCTTAAGCTAATTTAATATGACTCCAAAACTTGTCAGATATTTCCTTTAATTTTTATGTGATTATATATAACCAGAAATCATTTTTATTATAAATTTATACTTCTTTTTCTATATCTGTTGCAATCCCTTATCCATCTTTAGTTGAACTATGTTCATTAAAGTAAACAAAAGGTTTAGTATGAATAAGATTTTCTTTAAACTAATTCCACATTCCAGCATTATCATCTAAAATTACTAATAAATTAGTAGCTATTCCTGGATGAAATAATCTATTTAATGATTTACTATTTGAACAAATAGTATCTTCACGTGATAGAACTCTTTGTGGAGGAAAAAAAGGTTTATGTTCAGGAATTATTTCATTTAATCTATTTGAAATAAAATTTAAGATAAAATCTGCATATGATTTACTTGCTTTAGTATAAATGAAAATATCAAAAAGTGGTATTAATGTTAAGAAAAACTATTCAAAATAGGGTCTTAATTTAATAATAAATTTGCTCTATTAATCACAAGACATTTCTAAAAAATGTTCTTTAATATTAAATCCCAATTATTGAAATCCATTAAATTATCCTTCACTATCTGCTTATATCATTTTATTTTATTTTTCACAAAAATCATATTTATTAAAACTTGTTGTAACTTTTATAGCATGTAAAATAGTTTAATCTAAATCAAGAACCATTATAAGTTTTCTTTTTTTTAAAATGTCAAGAACTATTTCTTTTGAAATCTTTTTAGAAATGTCATCCGAATAATTAAGATCTAATGTTTCTGCATTTCTAATCACTTTCTCATTGCAAATAAGACAATAATTATTCTCTATTTTCAAATGGTTACAAGTCTATGTGTCATCAATTACTAATAATGTATCACATCTTAATAAAATTGTTTTAGTTTTAGCCAATGATATGATTCGACCTTTTACTTTTGATTTCAAATCTATTGCATCTTCTTGATTTTCTTCTACACAAATTCCTAAAATCATCATTGGTGATATATAATCTCCTACATTAACTCTCCATTTTAAGATTTAAATATTTCCTTAACAATTCTTAATTGAGAGTTAAGAAAAATTCAATTTAGTATAATTTTGTTAAGTTGAAGCTACACTATTTTCTTAGTCCTCTTGCTTTGAATTAATTATATTTTTCATACTTGATTAGGCATTTCGCTTTTATTTTTATAAATAATTCCTATTGTGAAATACTGTTCAGTGGCAGGTATTTCAAATACTTTTTAATCTTATGCCCAAGCAATAAATCCTTCTGATGAAGCCATTATCGATTTATTCTGATTTTAAAATACGTAAACTCCAATCTTTTCATTTTCTCCAACCTTCTCTCCTGTCTATTTTAACACTTCAATTCGAATTGGTGAATCATGTTTAATATTAATTCTAACTTGAGTGTTACTATCATTCTAAGTTTACTAATATTTTGGTCTCATTTTTATAATAATATTAAAAAATTCTAAATAAATTACATCTAAGTTTTATTTTTGAAATATGCTTTCTATTTCAAAGAAATAGAGCATATAAACAAATAAAAATAACATTTAAATGAATCTATAATAAAATAAATAATAAAATAATTAGATATTAATTCTACAAAATAATTTAGAAAGAAGAGAAATACTTAAGTAAAAATAACAAAGAGGAAATATAGTGAATTTAGAAACAAATAATAATTATATAATATTTTAATATAAATAACATTGCCAATAAATGTCTGAGTATTATGATGAGGAATTTGGAGAAGTATTTGATCTAAGAAATATTTAAGCTTGGATTAGTAATTGGTGATTTTAACATTCCTTAAAGAGCTGCTGATTTGCCACCTTAATTTAAAGACCTATTAGTACCAAATAAAGTGTAATACGTATTTTGTACAGGAAATGTTGGAAATAGAGAAACTTAAGATTGGCTTAAAACACTCTCAGGAAATACACATTTTGTGAAAGGAGATTTTGATGAAGTAAAAGATATGCCTGAGACTAAAGTGGTATAAATTGGATCATGGAAATTAGTATTAGTGCATGGACATTAAGTAGAAATAATTAATATATATATATATAGCTTGTCCCTCATGGTGATGAAGAATCTTAATATACATTTTTAAAAGAAATGGAAGGTGATGTACTTATTACAGGACATACAGGTGTTGCTAAAGTTACAGCAGTAGAAAAGAAATATATAATCAATCCAGGATCTGCAACAGGAGGATTCAATGGACTTTAAACGTAATTGGTATATCTTTATTATTAAGTTCAATACCATCATTTTTGATCTTAGAATTTAAAAAAGAAAAAATATAAGTTTTCATTTATACATTAGATGGAGATGTCAAGATAGATAAATAAGAATTGCCATTATAAAAATGAAATAATATAATAATAATTACATATTATATATTAGTTATTTAAAATTATTTAACTTCACATATCTACTCTAATAAATATTCTTAAAAGTTAACAATTTATTTATTAACAATCATCCTTATATATTATTTTTACATATTTACTTAAACAAATACTTGTTAAATAATATATATAGTCTAATTCATATCAATAATTAAAAATGATTTATTATTAAATATGTCCCTTTTAATAAATATTGAAAACAAAACAATATTAAATATTTTAAAATATAATGTTCACTTTTAACATTTTCCTTCTAATTTCTTTTAAATTCTTATCATTTGTCTAAATTTTATTCATTATATTATGGATCCTCATATTTTACTAGTTTTTTTTCCAATAACCACCACTTATAGTTTAAATATAAGATATTTAGAGCAACAGCATCTAGATCGTGATTTTATATAATAGTTTTTATAATATTTAAAATTCTCTACTATATATCCTATTAATAAGTTCATTTAATAATTATCTAGTTCATCTTGATTCTCATATTTTTCGTTTAGTGGTGTTTGTTTTATGTCATTAGATTTTTTTACAATATTTTATATAACAGTTTTTATTTCTATGTTTTAATTTATTAAAAATTCAAACTAAAATTAGAAACTTAATCATCATCTCATTATTATAAAGAATCTGCTATATTTTTAAAAATATATTGATATTTCTTCTAATTTCAAATTTTCATTCTTCTGATAATTAATCCTTTAAGACAAATTATAAATGATCCTAATATTCTCCAATATCTGATTAGCTTCAAAAATCTCTATTCTAAATAAATAATATTATTTCTTTAGAATAAAAATACCAATCAATATATCCAAATTTTAATTATTATAATAATTCCTCTCCTAATTAATGTAACAACTTCTATTATGAGCATCTTTATGATGGGTTAAGGAGATAAAATAACAATGCTCTAGCAATTTTATAATTTTTACTTATTTTATATATTTATTACAATTTTAATCTCGAATTAAAATTATTTAAATTGTCCAAATGTTTATTTAATAAAGTAATATTTTAATCATCACATAATTTATAATGTAATTCATAAAATATAAAATTTATATTTTATAAATTTAATCTCTGCCAATTTGCCATTTTTAATTAAAATTTTATCATTTAATTGATTTGAATCAACTTTTTTTAGCTATTTCTTTTAAACATAAAAGTTCTTATTTAAGATTTATTTTTTTATTTATAAATTAATTGAATAAAAAATAATTAATTGCTTATATAAATCAATTCTATTAGTAATTCAAAGTAAAATATAATTTATTTATTATATAAGATTATTTTTGCATTTTTGTTAATTATAATGAACATTCAAAGCATATAAATAAAAAAAATAATTAAAAATAACAAATATTTATATGAACCAATTATAAATTGACAAATATTTATCAAAAAATGGTTTTAATTAAGAGTATGATTACCCAATAAATAAATTTAATTTATGAAATACTTAGCAGTCTTGTTGATTTTGTATACATCATTACTTTGCACCTGCTAAACTAAAAGTACAGAAAAGAATGAGTAAACTGTATTTTTTGTTTTTTCGGAAGAATGCTATGATAGATTGATCATCTAAAAAGATTTCTTACATATTGAATGCATAAAAAAGACTTTGTCTGAAATTATTAGCTATTCAATTGTAGCTTTATCAGTCATTTTAAAAGCACCTTAGATTTTTAAGATTATCTAAAAATCTAAAGTCACAGGATTGTCATTTGATTCAATATTCTTTGAAGTAATGAATATATTTAATAATAGCTCTTTGTTTATTCATTTTCTATTGCTTATAATATGCATAAATAAAATCCTTGGAAACTTTATGCTGAGAATGTAGCTATATTAATTTAAACTGTGATTATTGTTGCTCTTTATAAGATATATGAAAAATCATTCACCCTCAGATAATTTTATGTTAGGACTGCCATATTTATTGGTGTAAACTTCCCATTTTTTACAGGAATGGTTCCTAATAGTGTATTTAACTTAGCAATAATCATTAATATTTGTTTGAGTAAATTTGTGAAGTGATTATATTTTTAGTAATGTTTGCTAGACTACCATAAATATGGTCAAACTTTAGAAATAAAGACACTGGATAACTTGCATTTATAACAGTATTTTTATAATTTGCAGGTGCAGCTGCAAGATGCTTCACAATTTTGGTTAGTTCAACAGATGGAATGTTGATAGTAATAAAATATTAAATATATTATTTAGCTTTTAAATATCATCGGTGTAACTCTGAACTTTACTCTAGTGTTTTAAATGATAACATATTGGAATTCAAAAAAAGGAAAGACAGATTGAGTTTATAGTATAAATTATTAATCATACATACATTTTATGCTTTATTTATTCATTTATAATCTAAAATTATCAAAGATTAAATTGGTTAAAATAAACCCTTAAAAAATTATATTAATATTAGCAATTATTCCTCTAATAATTTTTTTAAGATTTTTTCTATTATCAATTAACTATTATTCTGCTTGATCTTCATTAATTCTAAGTACATTATTGTTCTTTTTTTAAATAACTTCTATCATAATTAATATAAAGTTTACTTCCTTAACGATCTTCACTATTGTGTATAATCACTACTGGCTAAACTTGATCTAAAATGTACTGAAGTATATTTATATCTGTAGATGAAGCTATAGGGTTTTGTTTCTTTTATACATTTGGGACTAAATTATTTAACAACTTTAGAGATTATAATTATATAATTTTATTTATTTTGGGAATATAATAAAAATCAAAATTACATACTTAAGATACCTTTTATAAATAAGAAGCTATTTTAATATAAAAATAATTCTTCCTATTTCATTTTTGAGATATAATTTTTTTCAGATCTAAATTTTTAATTATCATATAAAGAATTAAGTATTAAATTTAATGGGATTTTTCGATTATTTCTTTGGAAAAAAAAAAGAACCAGAAAAATAAGTTAATCAAACATAAGTGGTTGTTTAATAATAAAAATCTAAAAAGTAGATAGAAGAAGAAGTTTATTATAATTATATTATCTGTAGAATTGGATTTATGCTTCTATTCTTTAATACTTGATATCCCCAATCTGGAATATTACTATTTCAGAATTTATTGATTAAAATTGCATTGTTTTTGATGATGAAGAAGAGAATAAGTTAGAATATTAAGCTTTATTCAAAAAATATAAAAAGTTAATGGCCAATCTAATTGATAATATGATGATTGAATTGGGTGTAACAGAAGAATAGTTCTCTGAATAAGTAGAAAAGGGACTAAAGTAGCCAAAAGATAAACAATTATTTGAAAAACTTTTAACGATAGATAATTTTATGGTTTTCAAAACATAAATGATTAAAAGAAATAAAGAATTAGAATTAGAAGCATTATAAGAAATTAAGAAGTAAGATCAGAAAAAGTATTTAATCTATTTATAATATTAGTGTTTAAAAAGATTAAGTTGTGAATCCTTAAAATGATGCCAATATTAAATTACTTTAAATAGAAGCAGAAAAAGCTGAATTAGAACATGCATTATAGATGTCATTAGCAGTTGAAGAAGAAAAAAAGAAAATGTTAACAGAAGAGGACAGATAACTACAAGAAGTTATGAGACAAAGTTTAATTGAATTTTAGTATACATTTAATTTATTTTAAGATAAGGATTAAAAAAAACAAAAGAGGATTTATAGCAAAAGGTTTTAGAATTAAAAAAAGCAAGAGAAGCTTAAGAACAACAAGCACTCACTTTTGAATAAGAATAAAAATTACTATTATAATAATAATAATAACAACTATAATAATAATAATAATAATAATAATAATAATAATAATAATAATAATAAGTTAATCTAAATTCAGATGGAACTCCTACTCCATTATTAAAATCAGTAAAAATTCATATTTTAATTAGGAATTTCGATAATAAAATCCTTAAAACTAAGAATAGTATGCTCCTTCAATGGCTGAATTTTATAAAGCTCAAAATAACAATAATCCTTAACCTAAATAAGTAGAGTAAGAGTAAAAATAAGAGATTCCTGTTTTATAATCAAAAAAATTGGATAAACTACCCAATAAACCTGTTTTACCATCAATCTAAGGAACCTAAGCTTAACCTGTTATATAATAAGCAGATTCAGTGATTTAATTTGAAATGGATGTAGCAGAGGATGATAAGAATGTTAAAAAATCAGTTATAGCCAATTTAATTTCTCAAAAATCTGTAGAAGTTAATAATGTTTAAAAAGGTGAAAGTATAGAAGAAAGAAAAAACAGATTAATTAAGCAAAGAGAAGAAATACGAAAAAGAAAAGAAGAAGAAAATAAAAAAACTTTAGAGTAGTATAAAATTTAATAAGCTAATGTAACAATTATCATATCTTTTAGGAATCAAACAATTAATAAGATGATGCTTTTCAAATTTAAAGAAAAAGTACTTAAGATGAGATTTAAAGAAAAAGAGAACTATTAGAAAAGAAGAAAAATGAAATTAAAATGTAAAAAGAAAAAATTGAAAAAGAATAATAATAAAATTAAGAATATGAAGTTGATTTATTATGAAAATTAAAAATTTAAAATATTCTTTTGATACATTTTCTAAATATTTTTAGTTCTCGTAAACTTGATTTCAGTTTTATTAAAAATATATTATCTCATAATTTAATAAAAATTAACTATAAACAATTATATTTTCATTTTATTAAATGAATTAACAGCAAGAAGAAGTAGAAATTTACGATCTTACTAATCACAATAGAAATTCTGAAGAGATAAGCAAATCCCTGATTTCCACAGTATTTGCCATAATTTACAACTTCATTTGGGGATTGCTATTTCTTATTTTTAGACATTATAGTAATAAGTTTTTTGTTTTAATTAAGAGATGATACTGAGTGCCAGTTAATAGATTCATGGACACTTTACACAGAGATTGTATTATTTGTTATTGTTGCTTACAAATTGTATTAGATAGATAATAATGTTAGATTTATCGAATTACCGATTCAATATAAGACTAAGAATTAATGGAAAAATTAATTGTTTGATGTAGCAGATTAATTAGAACTGTTTTTCAGCATAGTTATTCTTATTGGATTGACTGTAAAAAATTAATAACTTCACTACTAGTATGCTTATCTCCAAAATGAAGAATGCGATCACCTTAGAAATTTCGTTTTAGGATATTTGATTGTCACTTATTTGATACTCATTATTTGGATAATTTCATACATTTTTATTGCTTGCAGTAGAGAACAATTTAATAGTAGTAATTCATGATAAAATTACATACATTTTATTAACATTTAATATAAATACCATTAAAATTATATGGAAAATATCCATCAAGTTCAATAAAATCTTAATTCAATTCTAATGAATTAATCCTCCTTAACTATTTAATGATTTAGTAATAAATTTAATATTATGATTTTCGAAAAAGGAAAAATTATGAAAAAAAATATAGAAAATTTGTTAACGATGAGTAATTTTGATTCAAAAACTCTTAACTATTTAGTTAATACTATTGGAACAATTTATGATGAATTAGAACACAATAAGAAATTATAACTTAAATTTTTTGAAAATGAAGTTTAAATAAATCTGCATTAGATTTATGATTAGCTGTGCGAATTGCAACAAATTTTAAAAAAAAAATCAGGTCTAATGTCCTTTTTTAAACTCGACAAAGATGTTGTCGATCATTAAAGTTCAATAAATATTCAAATTTAAGAATTAGAAAACTTTGTAAAATCCAATTACAAATCAATAAATTGTGATAAAGATATAATAAACCTAAATAATTAATTTTTTCTAGATGGAAATCATATTAAAACTAAATTGCAATTTACTTTAAATCATCCAAAAATTAATTAAATAGGCATTATTATTGAATTTCTAATTTTTGAATCATTTAAAAGAAATGAATATAAGATGATTATTTAACATAAATATTTGATAGAGAATTTTTTAAAATAATTTCAAAAATAAGAACATTTCATTTAGAAACTTAAGATAGAAAACGAAAAAGCCCTATTTACCTTAAATTATGATAAAGCTAAACATTAATTGAAATTATTAGTAGAAAATGGTCCATATATTGTAATATCTAGTTTAAGTTAATCTAAAATTTATTTATAATAAGAAATGTTGTTGATCTTTAATAAATTTTATGAACTTAAAGTAATTGAAACCAACACAAAAAATATAAGTAGATAATAATTATCTAGTTATAATCAAAATATATAGAAGACTACCTAAGAAACAATTAAAATAAAAGGATTTGGATATATTAAATTTTAATTAGTTAATTTAGAAAACGATTATGAATTTTATCTTAAGAATTCAAGTATAGATTTAAGTAGTCAAATACCAGGTATAGATGCAGATCTTTATCATGACTGCAATGGTTTTTATATGATTCCAAAAAATGCGAATAATCATTATCAACTATTTTATGATTAAGAATTAATATCTAATGAAGAAAAATTAAATGTTGGAATTTAACTCGAAAATAAATTTTGGATAGATGTTGAAATAAATAAACAATAAATCGATTACATTATGTTTGACTGAATTGATTTTAATATTCTTAATAATTATTTATAAAACCGTTGAAAATTGATGAGCTAACAATTTTATTAAACTTACGTACCTAATCCTTTTATTCCAACATTTAATCCAACAATAAATTCCTCAAGAATTGATTATCCATCAACTAATTCAGCTAAGAAAGCTGATATTAGAGAATTAACAAATGAGCAGATTTAATAAAATAATGTAATAACTTCATCATTCAGTTTGAATCCCTAAGTAAACAAATCAATAGTGATAAAACGTACATTAATAGTAAATACTAATTAGCAATTTTAACCAATCAAGATGAATATTAAAGAAAGATTATTGATTTGAATACGTGTCATAAAAATGAATTAAAAGAACTCGAATTAAAAATGTAATCATAAATAGATTCACTCATATAAAAAAGATATTAAGATGATTAATAGAAATAATTAACAGATGTTAGATAGTAGATATCTGAATTATAATAAACAATATAAGGAAATAGTAATCCTTATTCATAATAATAACAACTATTTTATAATTAAAATGAATTAGAAAGATTAGAAAAGTAATTAAAAAAAAAGAAAAATAAAATTAAGTTTTTCAAAACTGAAATTGATAGTCTAAAATCAGAACTATAGATTAGAAAATAAAAAATAACAGAGTTAGAAATAAAATTGCATTACTCAGAGAATAAGCCAATAATTTAATAATCTACAATACCATAACTGATAGGTGTGCCTCAATAAATTATTGGTTAACCACCTTCTACAATAATTTAAGAATATCCGGAACTAATTGATAGAATTAGGAATGTAGAATATGAAAGAGATGTAAATACTGAGTTTATTTTAGTGTTTGCTTTAAGAATTAAGAAGATAGTAAGTAAATTTAATACCTGTATAAAGATAATAGAAATCTACATTTCCTTCAATAGAGGAATGGAATAGACTTATGCATGAATACAAAATCTTAGAAAGTGAAAACAATAAGCTTAATACTATAATATTATAGAAAGATGATTTAATTAAATCATTAGAATAAAGGATAAGTGTTGAGCTTACCAGATAAAGTGCACTTTAAGCTCAAGGTAATTAGCCAAGAGCAAAATCTGTTATATATGATCCATAAGCTCAACGATAATAATCGAAATCTTAATAATTATATCCAATTGCAGTTCAAAATACTGAATAATAATCTAATGTTGAACCAACATTATAAAATCCTAGTGGTCAATGAATTTATTAATATTTATAATACATCAAAATAGATATTAGATTAATTTGATATATTTATTCAACAAAAAAATAAAGTTCAATTCAAAAGACTTAGCAACAACTATCTCTTTTTTTCGATTACTATTGAAATTATTCATTATTTGTAGTTTAGTTAGTAGCAGTTGATTAATATTGGGATTCCTAAGTCTATAATTTAATTTAAGATGCTCTTCCACTTAAAAACTATTACAATTCTCTTGGGGTTTCACTTATAGATTTCAAAGCAGATATTAATTATGCTTCATTTAAATAATGTTCTCCATTTTCATCAGGTTCAACATCTGATCCATCTAAAGAACAAGGTAATGATTATTTTCTAAAATTACCTCCTGATGGTCTTTAACTAATACGTTTAGAATTAGGACTAGAATTTTATTTAGGTTTAGAATTTTCAGAATCTAAATACTATTAAAATCTATAACTAAATTATTCTTTAATATCTGATTTACTATTTGATTTATAGAGTGATCTTTTTAAAGATTTTCTATATTCTCCAGTGAATTCATCTATATTCATATTTTAATCAATTTAAAGTTAAAAATTTTGTTCTTTAAAAATTTATTTATCATATTTGATTCCCTTAAAAATAAATAAAATGAATACATTCATTAATAAAATCTTTTCCATAATAGATAATTCTTATTTAAGCATCGTCATTTATTTTTCAATTTATTCGTAACTAAGTTTAATATTGATTTTGACTTTATTAAGTATTAATTTAGCTCTTTAAGCAAATTTTAAAGTTTAAATAGTTTTTTCTTCATGTTCTAAAGCTGCACTAACGGCACATATAAATGAAGTATTAGAATTACCACCTAAACATTCTTTAAGTAATAAAGTAAGTTTAGAATCTCTATAAGGAACATGTTTATTATTTTTTCTACTTGATAAAGCCATAATACAATGTCCAAGACAATGTAATGATTGATTGATTTTTTTAGTTTCTTCTAACATTTATCCTTTAGCAACTGTTTTAGCTAATCTTTCACTTCCAGCAAGATCAATAAATTAAATTTTAGATGTTCTTTATGATTTGTCTTTCCATTCAACAAACAATCTATTATTTTAGATAAATTAAAATACTCAATAGTAAAAATAACATGCGATCTACTTGATCTAGAATTAAATTGAGTTGCACCAATAGCTCTATTATAACTACCAAATGCAATTAATTCCATTAGATCATTGACTGTTTCTACTTAAACTTCTCTTACTCCAATTAGTTTTGGACCATCAGCTATAGTACTAATCTAAGAAATCCTAAATTGATTACTTTAAGATCAAGTTTTTGGTTGTTAGTTTTATATTGTTAATTTAAAAGATCATAAATTTGTTCGTTATAAATTTCAACATAGTTTACTTTCAGTGTAACTTATTATAATGATTCTTATTGTTTTATTTTTTGATATCCCTGCATTACTATATGAAAAATACATCAACAATTTGATAAAACGATCTTGGTAGTATTCCAGAACTTGTATCAATATTAAACTTATTGTTTAGTATTTATTCTATAGTACTTTCTGGTCCTAATATTGTATATGTTTTGCCTGATGATGTTGCACCATATGCAAAAACTGCACTATTATATCCTTGTAAACTAGAAATTTCAAATATAGTTAATTACAAAAAACTGATTTTAGGTTACATTATAGTTTAGAATATCTCTTCTTATAATGTCATTGGAGGCATAATAACATCAAATTCAAATATTTCATCTTGTTTTGTATTTTTATATGTTATTGCTTCTTCCTCAATAATCCAATTTGGAGACTTGAGATTAAAGAAAATTTACAGACTCCTCTTCTGAATTTAAAATGGATTTAAAACGAATGATAACTTTAATTTGATTGTCCATTAATATGTCAATAATAATAATAATATTAAAAAGAATTCAATTGATCAGTTATTAAAACTTAGTTCTTATAAGACTTCGAGGTCTCCCTAAAGCTTTACAACTATTTTTAGTGTTAGGAGTTGTATTCTCATTTTCATCAAGTAACTAGATTTTTTTTATTTAATAAATTGATCTAGCAGGCAGTCTTTTTTCTATAACAAATTCTGTTTATACTCTTAAACCTTATATTTTAGCATTATTTTTATAGAAAGTATTATTGCGAGATCGTACAGGTTTAGGTGTAAGGCAATATGCTTTCCTTTTATTTTAATGATAATATTATGTAATGTTTTTTTGTATATTTTAATTTCTATCTGAGATATCTTTAATCATCTGTTACATTCTTCTTCGTAATAGATCTGACAAGTAAATGAATCTTGGTTCGTCAAATCTATTTCTATTATATAACGAAGATAGTAGTAAATATTTATTTGAATCATCATACTCTAAATCTAAACAATTATAATGAAATTGTTAAGATGTAGGTTCCTTAAGAAAATAAGTCTATTAAAATCTATGAGTTTCTATTATGTTGTTGTATGTTTTAAGGAGAGATGTGCCTGGCTTTTTGATTTCTTTTAGATAAACTCGAATACAGTAATCGTAGATTTATTCAATAGGCAAATCTAATGATAAGAGTTCTTCAAGTCTTGTAAATCATAAAGTATACCTTGTATATCTTCGTTGATATAAATTTCGAATGTGTTCATAGTTTTTATTTTGAATGAGTTATATTAATGAATTGATCTGGCAATCAGTAAATAATGTTTTATTTAATCTGAGGTATTTTTGTATTTCAAATTATTGAATCTCATTCAATGGTTCTGGTTATGTTAATAACACAATCATGTCAAGTCTAGCAATCAAGATATGCATTCCCATTATATCAATAGAAAATTGGATTAACAGATAAAGAATAAATTAAATTAATGATAAATCTATTCCCTAAATTACAAGATAATCAATATACTAGTGGAGTGGATTATTATTTATTATCATTAGTATTATTATTTTTCTATGAACTTAAATTACTAATGAACTCTAAGGAACAATTTTAGTTTAAGTAAATTCAACAATTGATTCTACCATTAGAGTAAATTTAGATGTTACAATATAAGCATCTTGCTAAGCATTAAGATTAAATACTTAAGATATGATGGGATCATATTTATAAATGTATAACATATTATTAGTATAATTGATGAAAATTTATTATATATTTAACTTAATTAGAATACTAATTTACATCAGGTTATGATACACAACTTTTTATTGATTAAAAATGTTATAATTATTAAGATATAATGATGGCATTTTACATAAAGAAAATGGAAATAACCTAATTTTGAGAGTATTATTTAATGTGTTGGATGGCCTACAATTTAATTTGATGATTCAGATTTTAAATTATTTATTGAAGCTGATCTCAAAAATCCTAAAGAACTACTAATTAATTAAAATTAATTAATTAATCTAGCAGCTACTGAATTATTTAAATAATCAATTGAAGCTAATGATGGTGATGATTAAGATGTCACTGAATAAATTATGACTTAACAATAATGAGATAATACTACTGAAAAGGATATTTTGGTTGTTTAAGTATAAAATTATGATATCTTATGGACTATTGATACATCTGTAATGATGAATCAATTTGTATCTACTATCGATTAACTATTAGTTATCAGCGAAGAATATAAGTATAATTATCAACCTAAGTATATAATTATTTTTAAATCAGTGCTTATGTAAATGTAAAATTATTGCAGAATCCACTTAATAATACTTATTAAGGATTGTTATTTAGTGAATCATTCTAAATTGAATAACTATCTTAATCATATATTGAAGTATCTGACATTTAAGAACATATTTATGAAGCATGTAGATTTTTTGGATATTTCTATGGAATATTTACTATTCAATCTAATAAACCATCTATGGAACTACTAAATAATACTTTTCAAGGGAATCATACATTTTAATTAACATTTAGCAATTAACCAATAACTGAAAGTCTATTCTCCTCAAAATATTATTTAAAATTAGTTACTACAAATAGTATTGATATTTGAAATAATCAAAATATCTCTTATACCTTTACTCAACAAAGATCACTTTATAATCCTACTATTACGCCTTTGATTGAATTCTAATATGTATTTGATCCTATACCTATGAATATTTAATCTAACGTTATAACAAATTATATAGTTATAGTATTTGCTGTTATTGGAGGTGTTTTTTACAGTTAGTATATTGCTGAAATCTTGAAAATTTTAATATGATTATCTAATTTTAAATTTATTAACAAACAAATAGTTTTAATTCAAATACAAATTTACATTTAAAAATTAATATAATTTTGATTTCTTCAAAACTCTTTTATCCAAACATTCCCATTATACATCATAAAAGCTCATTTACTATTATTTTTAAATATCAAATTAAATATCTCTTAATAATGATGAAAGTGAATTAATCAAATAATAAGAAAGAATATATCTAAAAATTAGAAAAATAAAATTCATCAAAGTTTATAATCAATTAAACTTATTTATTACATTTATGTACTTTTGTCGAAAAGTCTTTAAATAAATGGAATTGATAAACTATCAAAATATTTTTGAAAACTAAAAATACCTATTCTATGTCTAATAATATTAAATAATTAAAAAATATCAAGGGTTAAACTAAATTTATTACTTGTTTTAAAGATTTAATAATTTAATCATTCATCTCCTGAATAATTTTAAAAGATGAACAACTTAATCTTAAATAAATTTGAATGTATTGAGAATATGCTACAAGAATGTAGTGAAAATATAAAAAAAGTTAAGAACAATAAGTAATTAGACAATGAATAAAGCCATTTTGTTGACTTTTTGCAAGAACAAACAATATTGATTTTATTGATTAATTAAATAATTTATGGAACCTATCGTCAATGAATTTTCAGCAGTCAATGATGATTCTATTGAAAAAGAAAAAGCCTAAATCAAAAATATAATGTTATTTGAAACAGTAGGAACATTATTAATGATTTATGGAGCATTGGCTACTGAGTATCTAAAAATAATATAACATAGAACTAATTTTGGAGTAGCCCTTGTTTATTTCGTAGGATTAATCGTATTTGGTAGACTAAGTGGAGGATATTTCAATCCTATATGCACATTGATTGGATATATAGATGGATCAATTTCTAAGAAAAAAGCCCTATATTATGTAGGTGCTTAAACAATTGCCAGTCTTATTGCAGGAATGTTATTGATGCCTATGTTTGCATATAAATATACATTACCATATTTTGAAAGGTATTTTATAATTGGAATATTATTAGATTACCATCACACCAAGTATTTGGAACATTAATGTCTGAAATTGCTGGATCACTTATATTTTTTACAATTATATAAATTTAAACTGCAGAAAATACTAAAATAACAACAACACCTGTGCAATCTGCCATTTTTGTTAGTGTGATTTATTTTGTAGCAAGATAGTATTTATTTATAATATAATTTAGATATACTGCAACTATGGGTAATAGTTTATTTAATCCATCTGCTGCTTTTGGGTAATAATAATAATAATATATTTTTAGATTACAATTATTTTATGGAATTTATTATGGAAAATGGGATTAAATGATTAATTTATTGCTTTACGTTCTTGGTCCTTGGATTGGAGCATTATTAGCAATCACATTTTTCTGGAAAATCTATACTCCAACTCTTGTTAGTAAATAGTCAAAATGAATTACATAAAAACATAATATTAATTTTATACAGAAATTAACCAATGCATTTTTCGCAGTAGAATTCTATAGAGAATGATAATAGAATTAAATAACTTTAGAAAAAAAGAAATGCGATTGAAAAATAAACTGAAATGAGAAAAAAAGAAATAGAATAATATTCTGACTTAGATTATGAGTATAACATTTCATTTTATTCCATTAGAAAAATATTGAAAGAAAATGAAATCCTTATTTAAGATAAATACAATGTAGAGTAGAGAGCTGCTAAATTACAAGAAGTATATAATGGACTTAAACTAAGTGTAATGAAATAGTAAATATAATTCAAATTTTCTTAGAGTTGGTAAAATTCAAGTATCTGCAGAAGCCTTATGCAAACATAAATAAAATATTTATGAACATATGGCAAGACATAAATCAAAAGAAGCAGATTTATTTTTATTAGCAACAAATACTAAGCCTAAAGATTACTAATAAATTTTTGAAGACAATTTAAATTAAGGCCCATTAGTTTAAGAAAAAGAAAAAGAAATGGAGGCTTTAAAATTACAAAATTAAATTTTAAAAAATGAATTAGAAATTCATAAAAATTAATAATAATATATGAGAGAATTCTCTAACAATCCAAATATAGATTAAGATATTATTAAAAAAATGGTTAATGAAAGCTAGTTTAATAGAATTAATACAAGTAAAAATGAAAGAAGCAATAGTTAATTAAGTATGGAAACTAAATAAATTATGGATTTTTATAACGAAAAATAATAGAATTCTTCTATTTAAAAGGAATAATTATAATTTAATTGATTCCTATAAACTAATCCATTCAAAATATTATTGTAATTAAATAAAGATATTTCTCTAATTTATTGCATTAATATTGAACTGTACTAATTAATCCTATTTATTTTCATTTATTCTTAAACTTTTCCATTTAATATTTTTATTATTATCATCTTATATATATCTTCATATAAGAAATTTTAAAGTTTGATATTCCATTTAAGAATTCTTAATAAAATTCTACAATTCTTTCTTTTTATTTAAATCGAAATATTCGTTATCTAATTTAAGCTTTAATTTTAAGTTTAATTTTTCATAGACTCTTAAATATCCCTACAGTATTGATAAATCATAAATTCCATATTTATCTGTTCTAACAATCTTATGTAAATATTTTAATTAGGAAAATAGTGCATCAAAATGAAACATCAAATCTAGTGTGTACCTACATCTATTAGGTATAAGTTTTAAATTTAAATAAAAATAATATCAAACCTGTGTAACTAACAAAGTTAGCCTTTTTTCTTTATAGCTAATCAATCTAACATATTAAGTTTAATATAATGTAAATTGTTTGATAAATTATTTAACGCATGTAATCAAAAAGGATAAGAAAGAAGCTTATACAATTTTATGATAAGGAAAGATTAGAATGACTTATCTTTTAAATTAGTATTTAAATAAAATTTTAGATTAATTTAGAAATGTCTTAAAAATTAAATTTTATAGAATATCAAAAACAAAAGAATTATTTATAGCTGTTGATGATAAAATTTAAGAAATTATATTTTAAGTCATTAATAATAATAAATTTATTAATTGAGATTTGCCTAACATAAATTTATTATGATTTTAGGATTTGAAGAATATATTTGAATAATTAATTTTTTTATCAAATAGCGTGATATTCACAATTCTTGTTAATTTGAATGAATTTTAAAAATTGAGAAGTTATGAATCATAATAAATTTAAATAACTTCACTATTAATTAGAGGCACAAAATATTGTGTAATAGAAGCTCTTATATAAATAAATTTTAAAATAGGAGTTAATATCGTTCTCAAATTATTAGAGTTATCAATAAGAGTAATACTAATAATTTTTATATCAAAAATGTTAAATGAAAGAATTATAGTATAGCCTTATAGGTTTTGGTGATGATGGTATTACAAATGAAGGACTTTGTACTGTAGATGTTTCACTTGGACAAGTTGTAATTCTTTTTCCAACATCTTCATAATTGATCTGTCCTTATTTCTTTTACTGTAAAACTCTTTATTTTAAATCGAAACAAGCTTCATGTTTTTAAAGGTATTATTTTGTAAGAAGCTTACTTTAATTTAACTCATTCTTCAACTATTCTTTACAATTCTCTATATTACTCTATAAAGTTTAGGTTTAAGCTAAAATCACTTTAAATCTTACCTAGTTTTCCACTTAAAATCATAAATTACTTTTAATATTCATTTTGAAGGATTTAGTTTTATTGTTTAACTTCATTAATTTGTCTTAAAAGTTATTCTTTTTCATCTTTAAAAGCTGGAGTTCGAGGTTCTGAATCACTTAGACGGCCTTAATTATGAATATTATGATCTTCATTCTCTTAGAACAAACTCAGTATTTACATTATGGAATAACTCATTACTATTATTTATTTATTTTTATGTCATAAAATTAATGTGCATTAAAAACATAAAAGATATAACCTACTTGTAGAAAACAAAACAAACTAAAAGGAACAAGCAGAATCATAGTTTAGAATCAAATTTAATATTTCTATTCATATTTATTCATATTTATTTATTATTTTATTTTTTAGATTATCGTGAAAGTAGTAATATTTTTAATGAACAAAAATTTTTATTACAATCATTAAATATTTTAAAATATTATTTTATTAAAGAAGGTTACAAAATTACTTAATATCAAAGAGTAATGGTTGCATAGAGGGTAAGTTTGTGTGTTGTTATATTTATGTTAGAGATTAATAAAATGATTTATCTATTAATTAATACATTTAATAATCTTTCCTTTTTATCATTTGCAGTATCAAAAGCTTTAAAAGGATTATTTTCAAATAAAAGAATGCCTATTTCAATTAGATTATATCTTATTCAATTATTTCATAATTTACCCTAAAAAGTCTATTAAATTTTCGAAACAATTAATTGAATACATTGGAATGTGTCAAAAATATTTAAATTTTAATCAAATAGAGCTAAATATTTATAATACCTCTCTCAAAAAAACTGGAAATTAAACAAAGGCTTTTTCATAAAGCTTGAATTCTGTAAATTAGAGGAAAAAGAAATCTATCATAATAGTTAGTTTATTGTATTATTTATTCACAATTATTAGATGAAATTCTTTTGATCTTAAACAAAACTTAACTTACTAAGAATTTCATTTATAAAAACATTATAGTTTTTTTTGTTTAAGCATTTTAATTTGTTATATTCTTAAGATTAAAACAATCATTTATTTATAATGAAATCTTCAAGTAAATCTTATTGTATTTTTATAGTCTAATAATTTGTATATGTTTGTCCTAAATAATTTTAATTTTTCAGTCATATTATTAATTTATTTTTCCTTAATAAAAATTTTCTGATCTGTTTATGAATTTTCAAATTTGATTAAAAATTAGATTGTTTTTAAGAAAGAAGAGTTGAGCGTATTAATGATATTTGTTAATAATTCTTCTTCAAAATTAATTGTTTATAATTTAATTATTATAATAAAGTATATGATAAACTCATAAGTATTTGATTCAAGGAGAGAAATCGAATAATTTAAATTTTAGTTAGGAAAATTAGAAGGAATAGTTAATATATCCTAGCCAAATTCAAAATAAAATATCTTTTTATTGAAGTAGTTATAAAATAAAGTGAATACTTTAGAATAGAATTTAGAATAGAAAGTTAATGCAATGTGTTCTAATGTAAAATATTATTTGATTAAGATTATAATTCCAGACATATAACCATAAAAATTACCAGAGCTAAATGAAATGTAAAGAAAGAGAGCGGTTTCAACAGATGTTGCAAACTATAGTATAAATTTAGAAAAAAACATGTTTTTATAAGGAAGCAAAGCTAGTAGATATTAAAAAATGAATAATTAGAAATAACAATAAATTTTGAATGAATATAACGATGAATCATTCAAATAAAAAATAGATCTAAGTTTTGAATAATAATAACAATAAAATTAAACATCTTTTTAAATAATTCATAAGCCATTAAAATAGAGAACTCAAGTATTATTATTTGATTGTCCTGCCCCTAAACCTATGAAAAAAGTAGAAAAAAAATAGTTTTAATTTATGATTCAAAAAGGTAAAAGAATATAGGTAGTAGAACTTTGTGCATTTAAATAAAAGAATTTATAAGATTGGAATTTAATAAATGCAATAATATAAAGATTAGAATCTGTAAATATAAAGTATTAATGTCCAACATTTTTTGTGAATGGCAGATCAATAATTCATTTAATTCATTCTAAAAGAACGATAACATTTTCTGATGTGATAAAATGTTTATTAAACAAAGATGAAATTATTCCATATTTATATCCACGATTGTTTATTGGACAAGATGGGTATGAATTATCAATAATAACAGCTTAGAGAGAGCAGCTGAAAAAATCTAGGCCACATTTAAAGGATATATCTAAAATAAAAGATTTTAATAACTTAAGAAATTATATAAAAGTGCTCTTTATATTTAAAGATATTTTCGTCGAAAGCAATTAAAAGAATAAACAAAATAAAAAGTATTTTAAAGAACGAATTTGATATTTAAAGAATTTCAAAAAAGATAAGAAGTTTTTTAAGTATATAGATAATAAATAACTATGTTAGGAAAATTGGAATTAATATAAGTTGTATCAAAGAATAGAAATTCATCTATCATCATTGTGTTATTCTGAATATCAAAGATTGACGATGGATAAATTTATTTAAAAAGAAAATGCATAAATAAGTAGAATTTTTAGAGCAATTAATCCATAAGTTGAAATAATATATGTATGTGCATATGAATAAGATAAAGACATATTAATGTATTATGAAAGAGTAATACTTTTATATATAATAGATGTTTGAATTACATTAAGTTTCTTTTAAAAAAGTTAGGTTTTTGACACCTGAAAATGGTGACAAATTCAATTCACATATGAGTTTACTTTAGAAATTGATCTATTCACCAAAATGTTTGAAATAAATAAAGAAAATAATAGAAAATAAATTAGCAATAATAATTCCAGGATATCCTTCAAATGAATTTATTTAATTAAGCCATATCTTGAATATACCACTTTATAGTGGATTGCCTTAAAATCATTTATTGTATTCTAGTTAATCTGGAGCATAAGTTTTGTTTAATAAATGCAAAATACCTACATCACCAGGAGCATCTGAAATATATGATGAAATTGAATTATTGAATACTTTAACAGTTTTGATTGTAAAGAATAGAAATATAAGAATATGGATTTTAAAAATAGATCATTCATTTGGAGGAAGAGGCATAGCTACAATTAATATAAGTACAATTTCTGGATTGAATTAATTATTAAATTGTAATGAATAAGAATTAGATGAAAATACAATTAGTGCAATTAAGTATAATTAAATATCAAAATTAATATAGATAGATTATCAAAACCTAGTTACCTATTAAATTGAAAATTGCTGTAAAATCTTTATATCAATCTTATTAAGAATATATTACTGCTTTTCTAATATCAGGTGGAATAGTAGAAGCATTTCCAAATTAAGAAAGATTAAAAATATAAAAAACTTCATTTAGTTTTCATGTTAGTCCATAATATGAATTTGAAGAAATCTGTTCATATGATAGTTATTCAGCTCATCATTATGTAGAAACTATACATTGTAAATTATTAATATTATTTAAATTCAGTATATCCTTCTAGTAATTAAGCTATTGGTAACAATAAATTGTATGAAGAGATAATTGTATTCTTGAAATAAAAAAAAATGTTTGGTTATTTTACTCTAAATTTAATATCATTTGAAAATTAGTTTTGGGCCATAGGTTTGGATTGTTTTTTAAATGTTTCAACTAGTATAAACAATTATTATTAGTGTCTTAATAAAAAGTAATCTAAATTTTATTTATATTCTCCTTATGTTATTCATCCAGGATTATTAAAGATATCAATAAAATAGCTTTTTTAAACTTGCAGAATGGATTAAGTATAATATGAAACAGAATATTAAAGAGGTTAAATCTTTTTGTTCACTGATATTCTATAATCATGCATTTTATAAATGATTTCAGTTCATGAAAATATTTAAAAATGTATTTAGCAATTTGAAGAATAGTTAAAAGTTATTTTTAAAATTGGAGGATAATTGAATGTTAATTATGGAGAATCTATATATGAATCTAGAAATGATTCAATAAATATTTTAGATGTTTAAGGAGGTTTAAAAATATTAAAAAGAAAATTCTAAAATTTATAGTGAAAAACAAATTACTTTTGAAAATAAATAACATAGACATTTATTATTAATATATTAATTTTAGCATTTAAGAAAATTATTTTTATTTTTTCTTTATAAAATAGATGATATAATATCCTTTTTTTAGCTTACCCCCAAAACCTCACCAATAAATGTCAAGTGTACAAAGAAAATTGTTGAAAGATTAATATGAAATACTTTCTACAGATCTAGGATAAGGGACATATGGAAAAGTAAAATTAGCCATAAATAGAGCTAACAACAAGAAATGTGCAATAAAAATAGTATATATAAATGTATAAAAGCTAGATATCCAAAAGTTATATAAATTAATACAATGCAAAATAACATATTGATAATGAGATTAATTATCTATAATGTTGCAAACATAAGAATATTGTAGAGTTTATAGAGACTTTTGAAGATAAGGAAAATGTTTACATAGTTTTGGAATACTGTTAGAATGGAACTTTATATGAATTAATAAAAAAGAAGAAAGTTTTTAATGAAGATGAAGCTTTTTCTTATTTTTATTAGATAGCTTAAGCAATACAATATTTACATGAAAAGGACATAGTACATAGAGATATAAAATCTGATAATGTATTATTATAGAATAACACAATTAAATTATGTGATTTTAATTGGTCAATATATTTACCAAATGGAGGCAAAGCAAAACCTTGTATTTGTGGAACTACTGAATACATGCCTCCTGAAGTTGTTAAGAAACAGAAACATGATAAAGGAGTTGATGTCTGGGCTCTTGGTATATTATTACATGTAAAGACTGTTAATTAATCAATAGTATATGCTTCATGGAGAATTACTTTTTAAAGCAAAAAGTAAGGAAGAATTACATGAGAAAATATGCAATAAATAATTAATTAAATTTAATGATCACTTATCTATAGAGTGTAAATAATTATTACAGTAAATGCTTTCTCATACTAAACGATATAATATTTAATAAGTATTGAATTCTGAATGGGTAATCAAAATGCTTACTACTAAAAATATTTCACATCCTTTAGAATTAACTCCTATCAAAAATAGATCAAGTGCATATGAATTAACTAGATTTAGTGTGGTTTCAGAATCCACTTGTTTCTCGAGTTCAAAATTCACTACTAAATCTTATGATATTGAATCTCCATTTAAATAATCAAATAATTGGATGAACTAAGTACCATAGCCTCCATTACCTTTGAAAGTTAAGAGCACGGCTTTAGATCAAAATATTACTGCTTTCAGAATTGAAAAAAGACAAATTGACTGAAAGATCAAGTTTTTAATTTTTTAATGTTATATTATATATCATTTTTGTTAAAATTAATTATTTGTATTACAACATGGAGTATATTGCATACACTGATGTCAAATTTTCATTTATTGGAATTCGTAAGCACTTTTTTCGGGATAAATTATATTATGTAAGTGTTTTTGAAGATTATTTTATTATGGGCAATGTAAATTACTTCATTTAATAAATTAGACTTGCGATACACAAACACCCAAATACAAAATAAGTTTTGATCTAAAGATTAAAATAAATTGGGACTTGAAAAAATAGAAAAACAATGTTATTATATAATCATTTGTTTTTCCATACAAAAATTCTTTCAAGACTTTATATGCAAACCATATCGATTTAATGAAGTAACTATGATTTAGTATTATTATATTTCTCAGATTTAAAGAGCTTCTCGGTTTATCAGTCACATATGAAGGCATAGGAGATCTTTATCTTCCAATTTTGTAAATTGGAAAGGGTAGTTCAGCAAAAGTAATATGCAATTGAATTTAAGGTTTATAGTGCTTAAAATATTTTGAATTAAAACACTTATGCTATAAAAGCTATAGAGAAATCATTTTTAAATTAAACTGAAAAAGGCTCTGGTTTAGTAATTTATTAAATATATGACAATTAGGCTGCTTATCAAATGGAAGTTAGAATTCTCAAAATCCTATCCCCTTACTCTTAGAACTTTCTTACTTTAAAGGAGATATATGAGGGCGATCATACATTTTATTTGGTAACAGATTATTTGGAGGGAGCTAGTTTGAGTGAAGAAATTGAAAGAGCAAAAGTATTATTTAAAATAATTCATAGAATCTTCCAGATCGTAAACTGCCTATCTAAACTATTAAAATATTAATATACAAATTATTATCAAATTTAGCATTGCTACATAAAAATAAGGTATATTTAAAAATATATTAAAAGATTATTCATAGAGATCTTAAACCTGATAATTTGATGTTTGCCAAAAAAAATGATTATACTTCTTTAGTTTTAGTAGATTTTGGCTTAGCCACTTTTGAATATTTAGATAAGTAAAATTTTATTTAAGATATTAGATATTTATTTCCTAAATGTGGAACTCCTGGATATGTTGCTCCAGAAGTTCTTAATTTAAATTTTGAAAATAAATACACAACAAAAGTTGATATATTTAGTAGTGGTTGTATACTTTATAAATTATTGACTGGAAGAAGTATATTTGGAGGAAAAACTTTTGATGATGTTTTAAGAGCAAATAAGAAGTGCTTCATTGATTTAGATCTTCCTCTTGATCATATTTATTTGACAGATCTTTCTCTTGTATTAATGTTATTTTATCATTATTGTAGGATTTATTAAATTAGTTACTTTAAAAAAATCCAAAATAAAGAATAAGTGCAACATAAGCACTTTCTCATCCATTTTTTGAATCAATAAGTCAATAAAGTACATAAATGTTTTCTACATTTATATCAAATGTAAAAATTAGTCATAATGGAAATTTAAATTTATAATGTGAAGAATAAATGTCTAAATATGATATAGAAGAATATTAGATAAATAGTGAAATGAAGGAAGATGAATAGAATACAATTTAGATTCCTTTAACTAAAAGATGTTCATTAATGAACGAGTTCTAATCTCCTTCTAGATCAACGTTTAAATTTTATTAAAAAGAACCATTATCAGGAATAAGATGTTTAAAATTGATTGACTAATCTAGTCTAAGGGAAGATTCAAATGAAATTGCTAGTGAATGAGTTCTGAAATTGAATTTTCTCAAAAATAATATAAAAAATATGATAAAATAATTAATAAAAATATAAAAAGAGACATAATAAATTTAGAGTATATAACAAAAAGAGAAATTAAAATCTATTGTAATATTAATAATTAAAAATGGCTAAAATAAATTTAAATTAGCCATTTTATTCATATCCAGTAGACAAGGTGGTAGATTCAGTGTAAACAAATTTAAATGAGTTGGAGAAGGAAGAGAATGAGAGTATATGGGAAAAGATAAATGAATAATTTGAAGATAATTTAGTGAGAATATTATTATTAGCTGGAGTGATGATATTATTTGTGATTTTATAATTTAAAGAGTTAAGTAAATTTGCATGCAACCATTTTGGGTAATGCCATGCGTAATTTTTACAATATTAATATTAACTGCAGCAGTAGATAAAGGGTAAGACTTGGATGCCGAAATAGCAATAGAAGTAAAAATAATAAATAAATAAATAATTTATGTATTGAAAGATTTATAATTTCTACATGCAATAGTATTAAGAGATGAAGTAAGGGGTTAAATAGAAGTAAAAGATTTAGTAATAGGCGATTAGTAGAAATTAAATAAGGAGATAGAATTCCTGCAAATTTAAGAATGGTTGAATTGAAGACAATCACTATAAAAACAGATAAAGTATATATTATATCAAATAATAAAATCAATTTTGACAGCAGAAGTCAATCCTGTAATTAAAATAATTGATTCAGTATAAAAAGAATAAGCAATAGTATTAGATAAAATTAATTTCTTATTATCAGGAACATAAGTATTTAATGCTAGGAATTGTTTATAACACGGGAATGAAAACTGAAATCGGAAAATATTTTAAAAGAACTTTAAGATGCTGCTATAAAGAAAAATAAGAAGATGATGCTCCATTATCAAAAAGATTAGATGAATAAGGATAAGAGATAAATTAGCTAAATATGTTACTGAAAGATTATCTACTGTTATTACAACTTTTTTAGCTTTAGGAGCTAGAAGAATTGCCAAATACAGAGTTATTGTACATAAATTACCAAAAGTATAGGATTTACTACTTTTATTTGCTCAGTTAAAACTGGTACTTTAACTACTAATGAAATGCGTGTTAAAGAATGAGTACTTTTAACTGATTAAGATGCATCATCATTAAATGCATTCCTTGTTGAAGGTACATCTTATAATCCTGAATGGAAAATGAAGGATTAGAATCTAAATTACAAAAACGAAATAATTTAGCTGAAAATCTTAATAAATTATGTTAATCTATGGAATTATGCAATGAATCTAAATTATTCATGGATAAAGGAAGAGTTTAAAGAAGTGGATTATAGCCACACTAAAAGTATAAGTAAAAAAATTTGAAAATATTATTAATCATTCAAAAGTACCTATTTTAGATACTCCTGAATAATATGATGAAAAAATTGTTACAGAATTTACAAGAGATAGAAAGAGTATATTTGTCTTGGCTAGTTCTAAAAATGAAAAAGCTAAATTTTTGATTCATTAAAGGAGCTTTTGAATATTTATTGGAGAAATCTAATTAGATTCTTAATTCACTAGAGATGTTGTATCATTAAGGGCTTAAGATAAAAATGAATAGTTAAAAATTTTTTAAAATTTAGTAGAAAAGGGATTAAGAACATTAGCAATATGTGTTTAAGAAAATTGTGGATAATTAAATGATTATGATTGACCAAAACATCTAGCTCATAATTTATTAGTTGATAAAAATAATTATAAAGATTTAGAAAGCAAACCTATAATTGTTGGTGTTGTTGCTTTGTAAAAGTTGGACTTTTTGCAAATCTATATTTAATTTTAGCTATTTATGAATCCATGACTTTGGTTATAATTATTATTCTATCTTAGGATTTTGATCATTGAAGTTTCAGTTCCTGTTGTTTTAGTTGATGAAGAACTTAAATTCTTTTCTAGAATCAGAAATGCTAGATTTTTGGCCAGAAAAAAAATTTAATGAGATATCATTACAATACAAATTAATTATCATTTAATAATGTCTTTGCTATAATACTAAGTTTAGTAGTTAAGGAAAGCATTTATAAAGGATTTAATATTAATAACTTCTAAGTGCATAGATTAACTTCATGATTTGCTAGAACGAGGTTAAAGTTAATTAGTCAATCTTATTGGAAAATTCTAAGATCAAAAGATTAAAAGATTGGTTACTTTTAAGTATTGCCATTTTATTAATTTGCTTTACATTTTCAGCTTAATTTTTATTTTTATTACTTTTAATTCACAATATTCATTTTCTAATTTTTAAAAATTTCAAAATTTTATGGCTCAAGCTAATTTAAATAAAAAGCTTAATTTACACAAAATAAATAAAAGTATTATTTTATCTCATTTTTTTATAATACTTTATTTTTATATGACTATTCTTAATACTATATCTAATTTACAAAATTTGGCAGATTCAATAATAATTATAAGCTAGTACATATCTCTGTTTCAAAATTGAAACTAAATCTAACAAGTAAATTTTTAAGAAGAAATATGAAGAATATAATATACTCAAAAATACGCTTATAAATATAATATTGTACCTAATCTATCTATTTAAAGGAAATCCTCATTTGAAGTAAGAGAAATGTTCCTAAGTTTCATTTTAGTATTTTATAAGCCAGACTTTCTATCATTTAATAAAAATTAATTTAACTAAGAGATAACTTTAATAACTTTGACTGAGATTAATAAGGCAATTATTAATTTAATAAAGTAATTTAATTATTTATTTGCAATGTGTCCTTTGTGAAAAAATCTTATAAATTAGTCAAACAATTAATGAAGCATATGCAATAAAGAATCAAACTTTGGTCTAATTCTCAGATATCAATAAATTCTTGTATAAAAAATCAAAAATATTAAATGCAAGAAAATTATAATATTGGAAGCCATTTGCTAGAAAATTTTTTAGAATACAAACTAGAATATATTAATATTCTAAATGAATCAATTTATGCAAAATAAAAATTTCAATTTCATTAAATTCCACCATTAAAGGATATTTTGAATTAAAGAGAAAAGATTTATTTTGTAATATTTGAGTTTTCAAATGATTAAAATTGAAAAAAGAAAAACTATTTAAATAATTAGAGTGGTCAAAATGAGATGAAGATGAGAGTTTTTTAGATAGTTTTAAAATAGAATAAATCAAATTACTTTGAAAAATAAGTCTAATAAATGATAGCAACTTATTATTAATACTAAAAATTATGTGTGATATAGATAATTAAATGATATTTATAAACTTTAAAAAACGATTAATTTGTAATAAAACTATATTCTTTGATTTAAATATTTGAGTACTAATATTATAATTAACAAAAATAATAATGATATTACTATTCTTTTATTTTGTATTATCTAAACAATAAAGGGATGTAGAATTTGATAATGATTATTTTTGGACATCGATTGATAGAATTTCAAATAACAGTACCTATAGAATAACAAATTTGATCCAGCCTTATTATTATGTTTAGGTGACTTTACTTTAAGTTGATTCATCTTTTATATTGATTTATGATTAAGGTTAAGCTCCATAATTAAACAAATCTAATGGTGATTACATCAGGTACAACTTAAATTTGAAGATTAGTTATTACGAGAAGAGAAGAACAAGGTTCCTAAAAATTGAAACAAATGGTAAACAAATATTCATTTCAGCATATTCTAATAATAATAGAGGGAATTATAATATAACTATATGGGGTAGCAAAATAGAGTATTGTGATAATAATTGCTCAAATAATGGGAAATGCACAGTAAATATAAATTCTATAAAATATTGATGGATGTGTATGTTACTCTGGTTATGTAGGTTCTGATTGTCATTAAGCAGCTTTAGAAATTTAGAATGAGTACGAAAGTATCTCCTTTTATAGAGATGAGATTAAATTCTTCTATTTAAAAATAAATAAATAAGAAGACATGGATATACAATTGAATCTACAGGTAAATAATAAATATAAATTAGTCTGATAGTTTTTAAGGATTGGAAGTTATAATGCAACTAACTAATGCAATAATTATTCCAACCCAAATTCCTTTTTTTGGTGAAGAGATCTTGATAAAAAAATACAAAATATATGAATCTTAACCTTAAAAAGTAATAATAAGATATAAGGGTTCTAATCAACTTGATAGAGAAACTTATTAGTAAATTGTTTTTGTTGCAAAATAATTAAATGAAAATTTAACTGTATTAGCAAGCACATTAACAATACATTATTAAGAGTTTGAATATTAAGAAAGCACAGTTTCTATAGTTGTTATTATTATAATAGTAGTTGCCATATCAGCAGCAGTGATAATAATTATGATTTTGTTTTTTGTATGTAAAAGTATTAGAAAGAAAAAAATGTTAAGAACTCAAGCAAGGTTAAGAATGGCTAGATTAGATGCTTAATCACCTAATCAAAATGGTTTATATTAAGATTAAGAAAACCTCTTTGATCTTTTGACTCCTATTCAATTTACTGATTTAACAAACTAAGATAATTGTGCCATCTGTTTAGATAATTTAAATAATGGTTAAGAAGTCAGATAAACGCATTGCCAGTATCAAATAATATATTAAATTAGTCATAATTTTCATTCTAAATGTATTAAAGAATGGTTTTCAAAAAATAAAAAAGAATGTCCAGTCTGTAGAACAAACTTAGCCAACAAAGATCTTTAGGCCAATATTATTCCTAATAAATGACTATTAACTCTTAAATCTAATATAAATTTTTTAATTTTTTAAACATTAACAATATAATTATCAAACAACAAATATACTATCAACTTCATTAAAAATATTCATTTTTCAAGAGGGTGTTGTTAATGGTAATCAGTTTTTTCACTCAAAGTTTAAAAATATGCAGTAGCTTACAGAAAGTTTTTTAATTTTTATATCTCTAATTAATAGATTAATTTGGTAATGAAATAATAAAATGTAAAACAAAAAAAAAAGATATAGTAAAATAAACTTTCAAAAAGAATGCAATTTATATTAAATAGAAAAGAAAATAAGATCTCTTAGGGATGATTTTGATGAATCTACTTTAGAAAGAGTAAATCACTTTTAGCTAAATAAAAAGAAGGCCAACAAAAGTTTAATGATTTTTTTAATTAATATCTTTCTTAGAATTTGAAATAAATTTTCTTTACTTTTTCAAAGTGAAAATTATCGTATAATCTAATCAAAAACATTTTAACTCTTTTTCTTGCAAATCTTGAAGTAGATTTAGGGATTCATTTCTCTCTTTAAGTTCTTCAATTACTTTTGCATACATACACTAATTTAAATAATAATTTATTACTATCGAATAGGGGTTTCTCTTTAAACTCTTATACATTTCTTTTACATTTGGATTAAGTTTTTTTTATAAATCCATTGACATCAATTCCAAAATATAATTATACTTTAAATTTACTGTTCCCTCAAAATCTAATCATAATATTAGATAATACTTTCTTAATCATTATTTTCGCAATATATCTACGCTAATCCCTTCTCTGTTTGATTTTTTAAATATTCTACTAAGAACCATAATTTATTTGGATCTTTGCCCAGAACATATACTATCCAACATATTTGGGGTGATTATAATTATATCATATCTTTTAATTCAACAAGTCTTTAAAAGTATAAAAATTTTTTTGTTAAAAAATGGATGTAATTAATGAAAAAAATGATTTAATCTTAATCCAATTTTAAAGCTGTTTTACATATTTCTTCTTTTTCTTAAGAAAATCTTAAAAGGTTTAATAAAATTAATGATGTTTCATTCTTATATTTAATTAAAATCTTTTTTCTTTGTTGTTGGTCTGGAAAATGAACAATTTTTAATTAGTTTGATTCTTAAATTAACATTTGTAAATTTTCATTAATTGCATTTTATTAAAGAAACAATAGAAAAATTAATAGTATTGATCTTTTAGACAATTAAAATGGTTGCAATTCTTTTTTATATTAGAAAAGATATTCAACATTTTACCACTTATTTTTTGACTGTTTATGCAGATTTCTTATTTTTAAAATTAAAGTGCTATCACTGATATTAGTCTCTTCTCCATATGCTTTAAGAGCCTCCTATTTTTAAATTAATAAATATTATACTTTTATTATGTTAATAGAACCTTAAAATTAATTCTAATGAATAAACTCAAAATATAAAATCATTAATTTTTATTTTTTTGATTTAGCAAATAGTTTAATTTAAGACATAAGTTAGGCTTAATACTACTGTTTTTTGAGTGATTCAATTTCTTGGTAGAGTATCCAGAGAACTAAATTATTTTATTGATCCTTTAAAATATTTTTCATTTATTTCAATCCTGATTTTAATTCTTGTTATAAAACTTAATTAGGAGCAATTAAATCATTATGTAAATATAAAATACCATAAAGCATAAATAGATATATCAATAAAAATTAATTATTGATTTATAAATAAACTTTTTCTAATAATCGTTTAACATATATAAATTATGATAAATTATTTTGCAGTTTACACTAAAAAATACTCTAATACTTAATAAAATATTCGTTCTAAAGATAATCAAAGGCAATCTTATTATAACACATATCTGCACTGTGAAATGAATTTATTTGTGGTAAAATATATTAATCAATAGGTGGAAATCCAATTTATTGTAATAAGATACTTACAAGATTGAGTTTAGATTCTTAATCATTAAAAATATAAAGATAGGGTTCAATGTCTTCATAGATAACGACTGAATCTACATTCTATTCGATCCATTCAATGTCAAATAGTTAATTAGCTGGTCTCCATCTACTCAACTATTAAAATGACAGAAATTATTATATCTAATCATTTTATTCTGAAAATTTCATATTCTAATCAAAATATCCAATAAAATCTTCTTTTAATTGTGGTGTCTCTATCCAACCATATTCACTTTGTTCTCCAGTTCTTAAATTCAAATCCCAATAATTTTTAAATTCTTTAACTTTTTCATTTAAATCATAAGTCCTTTATAAATGTTTAGGAGCAAATAAATTCATTTCACAAAGAGCTTAAAGAATACCTATTGATCTTTCTTTAAATCCCATTTCACTTTCATAAAAAGATATTTATTAAATTAATTCAATATAAATTCTTTTGAATAATTAGATAAGTTATACTCTTGTTGTTTCATTTATTAATTTCTATAAATTAGCTATATGTTTGCTAGCTTCAACTCTTAGCATAGTAGCACTAAATATTTCCGTTTTAAGTTTGTGATCAAGAAACAAAATCCATATGGGTTGAATATGTACATATTTTGAAAACAATTCTGACCAACAATTATCTATTTCCTTATGTAATTCATCATTTCTTAATTCTAAATTTTGCATAAGAGAAATTTTGTAAGCTAAAACCCATGGATGATCAGAAAGAACTTCAGATACTTACTCTAATTTTTGCAATATTGATAATCTACGATTTGCTAGCAACAAAGGTTCATTATATCCTTACAATTCTGCAATCTTTTCTTAAATTAATAAAAATTCCTTCCAAATATCTAAATTATCAACAGTTGTTTAAAGTTAATTCTACAATTCTAAATTTCTCTCTTATAATTTCTAATCTTTTGAAATTGGATCAACTTCAACCAATTAATTGTTAAAAGGTATAAAATCTTCATTACTAAGCTTAGATTGAGGTTAAATTATAAATGTTTTCTCTGGTTAAGTATTTGCTGTATCAATATATCTAGAATACTCAAATGTTTATCTGCCTTTCGTTCTTGAAACGCTATCAAAAATTTAATTTACTTTTTTTTAATTTTTTAATCCAATTATTCGTTCTCTATAAAGATAAAAAAATTATTACTAATTTGTTCTCACATAGTGAGGAATTTCTTATTCAAGATAACCATATGTTAATATTTAATTATCCCCTATAGGAAGTACTTAAATAGATAATAAACCTACTCCCATCTCATGTTTATAAATAAATGCTTGTGAAGTGTCAATTTTATATTCTAAAGAAATAATCAATATGAAAATACTTAATTACAATTTTCTAATTTTTAATCATAATAGGCTTCAATCTCTTCCTCTGTAAATTTTATGGCAATTTGTTATTGCGCTTTTGATAATTTTTCTTTCTTTTTTTCTTTTTTCTTTTTTTCCTTTATAATGTCATTATTGTTATTATCTATTTCTTTTTCTTATTTAATTTGTTAGTTATTTACAAATGATTTGCCTACATTCAACCAATCTTCATCTTCACTCATTCTAATTATTAAATTTATTTTTTTAATATGTTTAACAAAATAATTTTTTAAGCATTTATTTGAATCAAAATGATGTTTTTATTAAATAAAACTTACTAAAAATAAATTATTTATAATTAAACTAAATCTATATTTATTTGTGTTCCTTTCTCTACTATCGTATTCAAAAAATTTCTAAATAGATCCCATTTATAGGCATAAGTAATGATACTCACACAAGAATGAAAATTTATCCTTTTTATTGTTTAATTTATAGTTTCTAATAACGTAATGATTGAAGCACTTTTGAAATTATTAAAATTCTCAATATAAGTATCTTTAGTAAAAGATAAATAATTATCATTTAAATAATAGGATATTTATTTTGGCTATGTTAAAAATAAATAAACAACTAGATAATATGATATGAAAAGAATCCTCCAATTTCGTTTCAGTATAACATTATTTTATTATTTTTTTTTAACAAAATAATGTTACACTATCTCATCTCTAAGACGTATATTGGTTATTAATGTTTAAATATTACCTCGATACTAAGCTATTTTCATCTAAATGATTTATACATGATTCTTTATGATGGTTAATTATTTTTTAAATAAGTCTTTTAGCATATATATATAATTGTAGAAATAAAAAATTTTCGTTACTAATTCTAAATCTTAAAATTTGTTTTTGGTTTCTATCTTTCAGCTGATCCATTTTTTTGAATCTCATAAACACAACATTACAATAAAAAATAATGTATAGCTTATCATTCGAAGGATTAAATAAAAAATAATACTTCTCTTGCATGAAAATATTTCATTTAAAAACTAAAAGGTAGTTAAGAGAAAACCTAATATATATCTCAAATATATCATATGTTTATATTTCTTTAAAAATTTTTTTATTCATTTCATGAAAATGAAGCTCTTCAGATCCATGATCAAGCAATTTTAGATGAAGATTAACTGTATTAATTTTTTTATAGCAATATTCAATAATATTATGATAAATCATTTCTTTCCCTATCTATCAAAAACAAATTTATTTTCCTCAACAATTTTCCTTTATATTTGAGGAGGCAGGGGATACATAACTCCCCACTTTAAAGCAAATTATTAAAACTCTTTTTCAGTCAATCCTTCAATATAGAAAAATATTGCAACACTAATTTTTAAAATTTCAATAATTTCGACGCAATTTAATCTATAACATTCGCACAATAACGGAGTTATTTCTGTTAACCATTCTTAAACTCTCTCTTTTGATAATTCATCATTTTTAAATCCTAAAAATTTTAAATATTCAAGTGATTTTTAATCCATCAGATGCTCTATTTTTGAATCTTAAATTTTTTCAACATAACTAATTTAAGTCTACTTTATAATTATATTTACTTTATCATACTCATGAAATTAGTAGTAATGATTTATTTTTTGTAAAAGTTGTGGATCAGCCTCAAAATCTATTATCTCTTCGTCTTCATCGAATATCTAATGTTCAAAATCAATATACTTGATCCCAAACCTATACAAATCCTCTCAATCTTTTGTCTACTACACTTTTCGCATTATTTTTACAGATTATGATTTGTGTTTCAAAATCCATATTATAATTATTAAATATTATATTATTATCATTGTAATTGAAGATATTTAGAGCTCCTCGCTTTTTTTACTGATCCACTTTTCTTTATTGAATGATTAAATAAATAATAAATACTTTTTTAAGTTTTATTTAAGATTTTCACCTTTTTGTTATATTCTAAGATTAAAACATGGAGATTAAATTAAGGAAAAAACTTTTTAAATTCCATTGCTTTTTCAAATCCTACCATTTATTGTTTGCAATAAACTGAATTTTGGTATTATTGAGTTTTGTTATCAGTTTCACTTGTTTATTTTTATTATTGAGGAGTTTAAAATTATTTACTTCTTGTAAATCCATCAGATTTTATAAATGTTATTCGTTTGTTAGAATCATGAGAATTTTTTATGTCTGCTCTAGGAGATGAATCAGTTTATTTAGGTAAACTTTCTTTTCTTTTAGAAATTGGAGAATCTTAATTTGTATTGAACTCAAGATCTTGAGGGATTAAAGATCCATTTTCTTCATCATCATATAAGATCTCCTCCTATCCATAACTTTGTGCTATTACTTTTTGCATTAAAATTAATTACTCATTATATATTTGAATAAAATACATTTTGAATTTAAAGTGCTTTACAAGATCTTTTATTTAATCTTTATTTTTTTTCTCTATATTATATTTTTAAATTATCCTTTAAAATTAATTTTTCAATGTCTGGTTTATAATTTAATAATTAACAATTATCTATTTAATGATCACATTGAGAACATATTTGACATTTTTGACCAAGAACAGAAGAATTAAATTAAATTAAATGCCTTAGCTAATGATAAACTTAAAGTTCTTCCTTATTAAGTAAATTCAAGAATGTGTTTTAAGAAATTCTAAATACTTTTGTAAAACTTCTACTAATAGCTGAAAATTTGCGAGGTTATTAAGTAAAAAAAGATTCTTCTCCAAAATATTTACCTTTCTAAAGTTCCGTTACTTTTTATAATGACTTTTTTTCTTAAAGCTCAACTTTTCCATAATCCAAAAAGTATAAATAATTATCATCGATCTAATTTTAAAAGTATATCTGTTCGTCAGGGCAATAGTATGCAGTTTAAAGAGAGTTTGACATTTTCTTTATTGTTTCTTCGCTAAAATTATGAGATATAATCTTGCAATCTTAAAGTAAGTTTTTAAATACATTCAGCATTAATTCTTACTATAAAAATGAAGATAATTATTCAAGAATATTTTATAACTAAAATAAAATCAAAGTTTATTACATGATATTTTGATTGCTAATTTCTTTTTATACATCTATATTCTAAATAACTTCTTGCTCGACTTTAAAGTTGATCTGGAATAGAGTGTTATTGCATATAAGAAGTTAAAATTCTTACCATTTCTCTAAAATAATAATATTTATTACTGAAATTGCCTTTTTTGTTTATTTATATTCTGTACAATAGTTCCTACTTAATTTAAAGAAAATGTAAAAACAGCGCAGGACAATAACATAAGAAAGATACAGCTAAAAGCTTCAATATGATTTTATGGTGTTATATCTCCATATCCTACAGTGATCATTGTAACAATAGCCCAATAGAAAGAAAATATATATCTAACTTATTTTGTATCATCTTGAAGATTTTTATACAGAATCCAACTATTTTTCTCATTTTCAATGGTTGTCATCCCAATATAATGCCATATACAGGCCATAAAATGCGCGATAAGATTGATTGTTATTACAAGATTAATCAGACTTATAATTTCTCTTTGCATCGCTGATAAATTTAATAATTTAACTATTTTAGCAATTATTTTTTAAAGTTTAATTAAGCTAAAAGCACAATATGATATAAAGATTAATATGCTTTCAATTTATATTGTATAATAAACTAAAAGAATGAAAATTATATCTAAAATAAAGGATGTTTATAAATATTTTTTCACAATAAATTTTCTTGTTTTGATAATCTTGAAATTATAATAAAATTATTACATTTCCTTTTTTGATTATGGCTATATTTAACTTTAAAATAATGTCTAAGCATAACAATGTCAAAAATAAAGTCAGTTCCTCTATTTAAAGTATAGGATATGATCGATCAAAGCTCCAAAAAAAAGGTATTAGTATAATTAAGCTCAAAATAACAAAAAACATGATTATATCCCATAAAATTATATATTTATTAGTCGGATCGATAACAAAAGAAATAATATTCTTTGAATTTTATTTTTTGTCTTATAAATATTTTTCTTAAAAAATAAGATTACTCTTAATTTTTTCTTTCTAACTTTAAGAAAGAACATAGCTTCTGCAAAGCAATGTATTTTTAAACCTTTTAACTAAATTATTTATTTTGATAATTTAAAAAATATTTCTTCCTACTTTTTAGGTAATAGCAGAACCAATATGTGATTTTGGTAGTTCATTTTCATCTAAATAATAAACATTTTCATTGATATTTTCATGACATTCATTTTTAATCTATTCCTGTTTTAAAAGAACAGGAAGTTTCTAAAAGGGTTTAAAATTATCTAAATATTGTTCTATGTTAAATTAATTCATCATACATTGTTCTAAAGTTAAATTTTGCGAGGATGGATGATTTATTCTAGGAGTTATTTGAGAAAAAAGATGTTATTCAATTTAACTTCTTGGACTTAAAGATTATATACTCATATTTAAATATAAAAATCAATTACGAAGCTTATAATTAATAATTTATATTTTAACAATGAATAAATTATTAATTAAATTTACTATCAATTAAATGGAAAAAATCTGAAAAACTATATATGAAATAATTTAGATTAAAATTTATTTATTTACTTAAATAACTGATTTAAGATTCTTTGTAATTATTTATAAATTTACATTTCGACAATTAATTAGAAATGAGATTTAACAAAATGTTTTTTTTAATTGCAATAGTTGAATCCCTAAATCTGTCTTTAGAAAACATATTTGATAATGAAAAATTTAGAATCCATTTATGGTCCATTCATTATTACGTGCTTTTTTTCTATTTTAAAGCTAACCTTTTGTATATAATATCATTCATCCAGCTCATTCCATCTACATAATAGATTCTTTAGAACTATTTTTGATTGATTTAGGTAAATAAATGTATTTTATATAACCTCTTCAAAGCCTCTAATTATTGTCTTTTCTAGGTTGAAGCAAATTAGTTTATTTATTATAATTTTATTTTACCCCTTATTGTTAGATAGTCAAATGGGTCTGCTATCAAAATGGCTAAAATAATTGCATTTGAACCAAAACTTATTTCTATGATTCAATTTATTTTTGATCTTAGTCTTTTGTGAATAAGCTACAAAAAATTAATAAATTGTATATTGAATTCCAGAAAAAAGAAGATCTTTTTATAGAGCAGCAACCACACTCTTTTTCTAATATATTGTTCTAAAAACATAAAATCCTTCCTCCTTTGTTATTTTCATGAAACATTTATCCATATTATTATATTATTGTATTAATCACCACCAAGAACTATATTTTTGTTGACAGCTAATAGTGTTGAGTATATTGTTAGACTGGATTATGAGCAGGTGGGAATATTTTTAACTTATAATAATACATATAATCTAAACACCAGTTGGAGTAGCCGATTGCTATTATTGATGTTTGCAGATTTATTAACAGTTGTTATAATAAAGTGGCTCTCACAGCTAATTTAATTTTTATATGTTAAACATAGCAGATTTTATAGTTTTTCGTTTTTAATTTCTGCCATTTTTATATTATTTATTTTTGTTTCATAATGAAAAGTATCCAATAAGTTAACTCATCATCTGTTCCTATTGGAGTAAAAGTAATAGACATAGTCTATATATATAGCAAATAGATACATAACTCTAAAAAGTTAAAACGCTTCTTGATATAGAGCATCAGTAAACCCTTGAAAGATCGTTTAAGGAATCCAAATTGAATAAAGAATATGTTCAAAAACTAACTGAAAAGGTTGATAAACTATAATCAGAGAGGGATAAATATAAAAAATAATTTGAAGATGGCTTGAAAAAAGTGGAAGGAAGTGCATTAGGAAGAACTTCCTTCCATAGCAATAAAAGTGATTTAGAAAGACAAATATAAACTGAAAGAGCCAAATTAACAGAAAAATAAGCTCCATAAATTTGGAATGAAAAAGAACATCAAATGCAACAAGAAATTGCAGGCTTGAAAAATGAAAATCATTAGGTCACTTCTGATTTAAGATAGGCTTTCGAATAAATCGATTAGAAAGAACAACTAATCAACAAACTGGAACTTTAAAATCGGGTATTAGTAAACGAAGTTAGAAAACTATAAAGAAAACTTTAATAGGAAAAGCTGGATAATTCTGATAAAAAAGCAATATAATAAATTGATATATCTTAAAGTTAGGAATAAATGTATGAACTGTTGTTAATTCATAGGCATATTGAAATTTAAAATATGAAGAAGTAGATAAATGAATTATAAGATGAAATAAATGAATATCAAGAAATGATAGAATCATAATAATAATAATGCGAAATTGAAAAAACGAATAATTAATAACTCAGAATGGATAAAGATAATATAAATCATAATTATGCAAGTATTTTTATTCATATTTTCCTTAGTTATTAAAGCAAAACTTTAAGCTTTATCTGAGGAGCGGGAAGAAATGGAGATATAAAAAAGAAAAGATGACGAATCCTTAAATTAATTACAAACATGCATAACAATTTAAAGGGAAAATTTAAAAGAACTTGAGAACGATAAGAAAGATTTAACAAATTAGATTGAGTAATAGAAATAATTAATCAGTAATCTAGAAAAAGTCATTAATGATCTAAAGAATGAAAACATAAATTTAATAGAATAATTAGCAGAAAAACCACTCTAAGTAAGTCTTAACATTGAAGATGAGATACTCAATTTGCAAAGCGCTTAATAATCAGAAAATGATTTGTTAAATCAACTTAATGTCTTGGATAATCAGTACCAAAACCTAAATTAAAATTATAACTAGTTAAAATCAGAAACAGATAATTAAATATTTACGATTCAGAAATAGTAGGAACAAATTAATGCAATATAACTATAGAAAAATTAATTAATTTTAGATAATGAAGACTTGAAGAAAAAAATATCTGATTTAGAGAATTAAAATAGAAAATTAGATCAATAAAATTCTGAACTTTAGACCTAATTAACAAATTATAAGGTTAAAGATAAAGAAAACACTGATCTTTTGAGAAATTTAAAAGAGGTTGCATCTTTAAAAAACATTGAAAATATTCATTTAAAAAATAATCAAAAAAAATTAGTAGCAAATAATTTCTTAATCTCATATCGAAAAATCAAGTTAGAAAAATAAAATTAAAATTAGGAATTATAAATTTAAAAATAAAAAGCTATTATAACAGATTTGTTGTTAACTATTGATTAAAATGCAAAAGAGGAAAAAAATCTTGATAATCATAATAAAAATTAATTAGAATAGATGGACTAAAATTCTTTAAAATTAGATGAGTTTAAAAACTATAAAATTATTAACTAAAAAATGGTATGCAGATAATTTAGATTAATGATAAAATAAAAATTAAAGGATTAAAAAATAGAAAACTTAATAAAAAGATTAGAAAAACAAAAATCTATTAATGAGGCCTTAATTAATTAAAAAGAAGATTCATCAGCAGAAGAATAATAAACTAAATAAGATTTCTCTAATAAAATAGATAATAATTAAACTACATTCAATGAGGATGAAATTGAGAGTGTTAAAAGATCGAAATAAAAACTTATAGCTAAGCTTTTTGCATTAACTTCATAATTAAAAAAATAAAAAAAAATAAGCGATGAAAACGAAAGACGATTAGAAAAATAAAAAGCTATTAATGTTGAAATATAGGAAAATATGGAATAATTATTAAGCGAAAGAAACATAGAAACAGTTAAAAATGAAGAACCGAATATTTTAGATCAAAGCGATGATTAAAAATCAATAAATGAAATTAAAAGTGAAGTTAATAGACTTAAAAATTTTAATAAAAAATTAATGGTAAAATGTTTTAGAAATATTTATGAAAAAGAAAAATAAATTAAAGAGAACTTTTTATTAAATAATCGAATAATAAAGTTGAAAGCATAAATAAATAATATGGAATCTGAATAATTAAATTAATCAATATGTTATATATAATAAAAAAACGAAAATGGAAATAATTAATAAAATATAGATGAAGATTTTAAACAACATTTAAAATATAGATAAAAATATCTCATAAAATGGTTTATAGCAATGAGTCAAATTAAGAGTAAGGATAGTTAGGTTGAGTAACTTAATCAAAAGTTAGCAAAACAGAAAGCCATAAATGATGAATTGAGAGAGCAGATAATCATAAATGAAGAAGAAGAAGCAAAAAATTTGGAAGTAAATGAAAAACCTCAAAATGTGGATGAAGAAGCATTACAAGATAATGAAGAAGGATAAAAAAAGCTCACAAGTCAGAATAATAAATTGTTAGGCAAATTATTCAGAGTGATGTGCTAATTTAATAAAAAGAATAAAGAAATTGAGGAATTGAAGGAAAGATTACATAAACAGAAGGCAATTCTAGATCAATTAAGTAATTAAGAAAATGCTTCCATTTCTGAAGAAAAAGGAGATGTGTAAGAAGTTGAAAATCAAGCAAATTAGTAGGGTTAATAAATTCCAGAATTAGAAGTTGAACAACTGAAGAAGCAGAAAAACACATTGTTTGGAAAATTGTTCAGAGCAATGAGTTTAATAAACAAGAAAAATAAAGAGATTGAATCTTTAAGTGACAGATTGAATAAATAAAAAGCCATAATTGAACAATTGACATCTTCAAATTCAGAAAACTTGGCAATCGAAATGGAACCAGAATAAATTGAACTTCGAAGTGCTCCTAACAATTAAATTGAAGATGATGGAAATTTAGAACTGATGAATGCAGAAGAAGCCAATAAATTGAAAACTTCTAAGGATAAATCTTTAAGCAAATTATTCAGAGCAATGTTTTTGATTTCTAAAAAAAATAATGAAATTGAATAATTGAATTCGAGATTACTGAAGCAAAAAGCAATAATCGAAGAGTTAGCTCAAAACGATAATGCTTAATAATAAAGAGAGAAGATTCATAAGCTTTTGGGCAGACTCTTTAGAGCAATTAGTGATTTGAATGTGAAGCAGAAAGAAAATGAGGATTTGAAAGAACGATTATCTAAAAGTAAGGCTATTGTGGAGAGTTTACTGAATTAAGCTCCTCAAAAGGAATAAGAAGTAGTTTCTGAGATTAAATAATCTGAGGAAGAAGAGAGAACTATCCCTACAGAAATGATTTAGCGATTAGAGGCCGATCAATAGCAATTAAAGAATAGAAACACTAAACTGACTTCCAAAATGTTTAAGATAATGATCAAGCTAAGTCAAAAGAACAAAGTGATTGAATCCTTATCAGAGCGCTTACTCAAACAAAAGGCAATAAATGAAGAATTAAGGAATTAAGCTCTTGATTCTCTCTTACCATAACCTAATTGCGAAGAGAAGGAGGTGGTTGATCACTCATAGATAAATGCTGATGATAACAATAAGATTAAAAATTCCGATAGTAAGGCTCTGGCTAAAATATTCAGGTTAATGTTCTAATTGAAGCAAAAAGAGAAGA